TGCGATTTTACTTGCTGCAGCTCTTTGTGCTTCTTGTACTATAATATATATGTAATTGCCAGCAGAAGAGACACCATCCATCGAGTCATTTCGGAACTCCTCGGACTCCGAGATTGTTTTGTCTCGCTCCTGTCTGACATTATTTTGTATACTGGTGTCCTTATGAAGCCTCAGGCCCACCTTTCATTGAGAAGTGCTACACTTTGTATGCCTCAAGGCCCACTCTTAAGAGACTCCCGCTGTGTCTCTATAAATTGTGTCTGTGTACCAGCTTTATTCTTGACTCTTCTTCCCTTCACCTCCCAGAGTCAAGCAACACAGTCCTATTGTTCTGACTTCTCCACGTCTTCCTGCCACCACTGATGTAGTTGAATGTGGCACAGATCTGTCCACTCGGGTTACTGCAGCTGTTCACCATTGGCTGGTAAGACAGTCTACTGGCTTGGAAGGCTGACTATAGACATTCCCCCGTTGGAACTCCAGTGCATTTTCTTTGTCCTCAGGATAAACTTCAAATTTCTAAATTCCTTAGCTGGAGTTGAAGAAATAACTGTAAGTGTCACTCCATTCCTTAAACTGTGAAGATGAGACCCTTGTAAGTCAGATGGAGTGGACTGGGCAGTGGACCGAGGAGTCCGACAGGCTTGTTCTCTTTTGAAGGGTTGGCAGAAGTTGTTTGTAGAGAGGAGGGATAGTAAAGTGTTTGAGGTATAGTAGTCACATGGAAAAACACTCAAGAGTTTCAGGGAACGGGAACGCAGAGGCAGAAAGATTGTGTGTGTCAGGAAGTGTAGTGTGTCACCATAGTAGAGGTGAAGGGTGAGGCCAGAGGAATCCACACGGGTAAGATGTAGTCAGTCAGACGAGTGGTTTATAAGGACGCTGTGTAGCTCTGGTCATCTGTGACATACATAGATAACTGGAGATAACCGGGGCAGGATGGAAGAGCGCATGCGAGCGAAGAGGAAAGGCTGACAGACGATAGGACATAGAGTCTGGAGGGAGAAAGCTTTCAGGTGATTAGCTGGTCGGGATTTTCTGATAGCCTGGCAGTATATGAAGAACAGGTCCATGCAGAGCATAACAGTCTAAGATGTGAGTGCACGTGGAGACGGCAGTTAGCTGCTTCAGAGCACAGTGGTGTATCGGAACCCACACGCCTTTCCCTGAGGATGCTCTCGGTAGCTAAAAGCCTACATTGTTTTCTGTAAGCCAAGTAGCGTTTAAATAAACTGAATTTTTGAAGCCGTTTTTGACTGTGGATTACTTTATGACGTTCACATAGTTGTTAAAGTGGGTATTGTGAAGTAGCTGTTGAGTTTCCAGATCTGGAGAGCTTTAGGGCAAGGGTTTTACCTTCAGCGTGTTAATGAGTATTTTAGTTGAAGGCTTTTCATTTATCCTTAGTTTTTGGAACTAGTTGGTGGCAATGTAATAACTCAGTTCCACATCAGTGCAGAAGCTGGAGTATCCCAGCTCACCACTGTGCTGGGTGTGTGCTCTCTTCTCAGCTTTGTTAGGACTCGGCGCAATGGTGCATCTGTTTCCATCTGCCACATTGACTTGACTTGCAATGGCTCATTTGTGCGCTTTAATTTTAACATTTATTGTTAAAATCTAGGTTAGCAAATTTGTTATAAATCATTTTCTACAGCTCCTCGGAGCTTTTGTTTTTGTTTTTTTGTTTTTGTTTTGTTTTTGTTGTTTTGTTGTTTTTTTTTTTGAGACAGGGTTTCTCTGTGTAGCCCTGGCTGTCCTGGAACTCACTCTGTAGACCAGGCTGGCCTCGAACTCAGAAATCTGCCTGCCTCTGCCTCCCAAGTGCTGGGACTAAAGGTGTGCGCCACCACTGCCCGGCTAATTATTATTATTATTAATATCATCATCATCCTTTCCTCAGCATCATTTCAGTCAATAGCAGCTCATGAAAACCAGGGTTGGCCTTGAACTTGTTATAAGGCTGTGGATTACCTTAAACTCTTTATGCGTCTGCTTCAGCCTCCCAAGTGCTGAGACTATAGGCAGGTTCTATAGTGCCTGGCTTCAGAGTTATTTTAATAAGTTATCTGGTTTGGTTCCTTTGCTAAAGTCTACTAACGTTAGTAAGTAGCATGTCATTAGACGTTTTATATATGCACTCAGCTGCTTGGGCATCTTAAATATTCTAAAAAAGTGTGTGTGTGTATGTTTGTGTTCGTGTGTGCATTCCATGACATATGTATGAATGGCCCAGAAGATAACTGGGGAGTCAGCTTTCCACAGGATCTGGGGCTCCAACTTTGGTCATGAGGCTGCATGCTTTTATCTGCTGAGCTTCTCACTAGCCTCACCTTAGCAGATACTGTTGATTTATTTACACAGAGCCTCGTGTGGTCCTTCTGGCCTGGAACTCAGACATCTGTCTACTCCTGTCTCCTGAGTGCTAGGATTAAATGCATGCACTACCATCCATGGTCGTTTGTAAATATTTATTTTAATGTTTTGCATGTAATCTGCGCATCTTCTCACGCTCGCTCTGTTGTAGCACCTGTATAATAGAAGAGCTACGTAAATTGCAGATGTGTTGTATTGTTCAGGGGAAAGTCGGAAGAATGTGTATGTATGTAATACAGATGCTTTTTTGTATTAAATACTTCTTAATCTGGTTGAGTTCAGAGGATATAGAATACACAGAAATGGAGATTTCATAACATTTAGTAGTTCGGCAAATCAGTCATGTTCTATTTGCTTTTTGAGGCAGACTTAACAAATTTCTAGAAGTTAAAGTTATACCTTTAGAATTAGAAAGCTAAAGACGACTGTCTTCTACAGACAGTACAGATATAGTTTAGAATTTTTTTTTTTTTTTTTTTTTTTTTTGGTCTTTCAAGACAGGGTTTCTCTGTAGCCCTGGCTGTCCTGGTACTCACTCTGTAGACCAGTCTGGCCTCGAACTCAGAAATCCACCTGCCTCTGCCTCCCAAGTGCTGGGATTAAAGGCGTGTGCCACCACTGCCCGGCTTTCATAGATTTCTTTAAAGGAGTTAGTCATTTCCTCATAAGGCTGTCTTAAGGTCTTTGTGTTGTGCTTCAGCTGTGTTGGAATACTAAGGGCCTGCTGTGGTAAGGTTGCCTGGGTGTAGTGGAGCCCTACTGTCCTGGTTGTTACTGATTGTGTTTTTGTCCTGGCATCTGGGATTGGGAAGATTATAATTTTAGGTCTTGCCTTTAGGGGGTGGAGTGCGCGTGTCTCGTTTCTTGGTTTCTGTTTTGTTTGTCTTTCTGTTTCTTAAATGTGGTGGCTGTATGTTGCAGTTATGCTAGGGTCCTGATAGGTGTGGACACTGGGGTTCCAGGTAAGATGTGGTTCTGGGTACTGGAGCTGAATAGCTGTGGCAGGTGCTGATGGGGTCACAGGAGAGAGGAAGGCAGGGTGTACCTCCAGGATCTGCTTAGTCCCCTGGGAGTGGGGGCAGAGATGAGAAGAGGGCACACCAGGTCTGCTACAGAGTTAGGGATGAAGGTAGAAGATTGGGTTTAGAGGAATGGAGGGTGAGGTGAAGATCTGCAGTTAGACTCCTTCCCTGGTCAGAGTGGCCTGTGGGTTCCCATAAGTGCCTGCTGTTGATGATGGGGCATGGGACAGAGCAGTGGGTGGGGGACTGACGTTTGGAGGGGAAGATCTGTGTGTTCACTGGAGATGGGGCAGGGGAAAATTCCTGTATTATTCCTAAAGTTTCTGCCCGTGTTAAAGTCACAGCAGCATGATCTCAGAGACAGTGCTGCTGTAGGAGTCCATGGAAAGCACCCGCTCCTTATAGCTTATTGTTTGAGCTTTTGGAGATTTTCATGTAGATTTTTAGTTTGAACTCAATGCTTACCTTAAAATATTAAAGTATTGCTGCTATTAGTGTTGTGTTTGTGGCTGGAAATAAACCCAGGGCTTTGTGCCTGCTAGGCAAGCATTGTATCACTGATGGTTATCCCGACTCTAGACTAGAATAGACGGATTTATGCATTAGGCACATAGCATTGTATCACTGATGGTTATCTGAACTCTAGACTAGAATAGACGGATTTATGCATTAGGCACATAGCATTTACTCAGACATCATTATTATAGAGATGGGTAGGAGTGTGGTTTTTACCAATATGAAAAAGAACTATTCATGTGTATTGAAGCAAATCTCCTTGTAATTCACCATGGCCGAAGCTTCATGAGGTCTGTGTGGTGTTTAATACAGGCTGACACTTCTAATCTGAACATCCAGAATCTGTGATGTTCCCAAATCTAAAGTATTTCAGTGCTGAGTTGACACTACAGATAGAAAATTCCACACCTTAACTTCACCTGACAGTTTGCATTCAAGGCACTTCAAACCTATTGAGTTGTCTTCAGACTGTGTATATATAAGGCATATATAGAATACAGAAGAATTTTATATTTGTATTTGGCCCTGTTCCTGAAATGTCCATTATAAGTTCACATTCACGAATCTGAACTACTACTTGTCCCAATCAAGCTGTGATGATTTGTATATGGGGTATGAGACGCGTGAACAGTGTTAGAAGGAAACACCGTGGGGACTGGAGAGATGTGAGGAGCTGTGACTGCTCGCCTGGAGGACTCATGTCCAATCCCTTGTATCCACATGGGTCCAGTTGTCTGACTCTCCAGTTCGAGGATCTGATGCCACCTTCTGGCCTCCACAGGGACCAGGCCTGCAAATGGTGATTAGACATTGCATGTAAGCAAAACACACAGGTACATAAAACATTTAAAAAGTAAAAAAAAGAACACATCTCAGTTATTTTTAAGAAATGTTGAAATCAAAAGTGTGGGCTCACAGGGAAGCATTGGCCGTGCAGGCTGGGCTCAGATCTGTAGCGGCCGTCGAGGCAAACCTACCATTCCAGCTCTGAGAAGGGAGACACATGTGCGTGATACACACATGCACGCAAGCATACACATGCATGTACAAGGGAAACAGTGTAATGATAATCTTGTTTTGCTGTTTCAGATTATATATGAACAAGAAGGGGTATATATTCACTCATCTTGTGGAAAGGCAAATGACCAAGACAGCTTAATTTCAGGAATATTGCGTGTTTTAGAAAAGGTGAGTTTCTGATGATTTATTTAATAATGGTTTATGATGGTGATTCTTTTCAGGAAAAGCGTCTGGATTTTATATGTAAGATGACGACTGGCTTAGATTTGTCTCTAAACCTACTTTACTTAGGGTTAGAGCTTCAGCCTCTCTTCTAGCTCATTGACCAAAGGTAGGAAAAGGAGGTTATAGACCTGCTTAGAAGTTTTTGGGGCTCTTGCAGTCTTCATTGTCAGGATATCAGCAGTTCAGTCCAATAGCAAACACCCAACATGAATCAGTAGCAGCTTGATTCAGTAGAAACCACAGGCTCCACCAAATTGGCAGGAGAGACAAGCAAGAATCAGTCTGGAATACCATGAGATCTCATCATGCACCCTCTCAAGTGTCCGCTCCAGCTAAACATCGTATGCTCTCTCACATGTCTGCTCCAGGAAAACATCACATGACACAGAGTTTCCAAAGAAACCATGACATAGTGTATATTTGAACAATTGTTGTAAATTTAACATCGAAATAATGCTAGCAACAGAATACCTTAGGTAAACTGACAAAAATCATGCATGATTTTAAATGTGTACATGAAGCTGGGCATGTTGGGACACACCTTTAGTCCTAGACTTGGGAGGCAGAGGCAGGTGGATCTCAGTGGTTTCAAGGCCAGCGAGTTCCAGGACAGCCAGGGCACCAGAGGTATCCTGTCTCACCAAAGAAAAAGGGTTAGGTAATCATTACAGTAATACAATTTTTTCATAATAAAAAATAATTAGAATTAAATTTCTATAATTATTAAATAATGATGTTAGCAGGTGTAAAATACTAATATTTAAGGACCTAAATTTTTATTTTGCATTTAGAAGTAAAAAATGGATTAAGAATATAATATATTGATGAATTATAAATATAATTCATGGCTTCTTTTGTCAGGATGCTCAGATTTTCTTGATGAATTCTAAATATATTTTGTAATTTCTTTTTGTAGGATGCTGAAGTAATAGTGGACTGGCGACCATTGGATGATGCATTAGATTCTTCTAGTATTCTTTATGCTGGAAAGGTATTTAAAAAATACCACTTAGAGAATGCTTTTCTTTTTGTGTGTGTATATGTAAGTTTGTAGGCATGTATGTGTCTTATATACCACTTTGCTCTAATGCCTTGCCCTGTGTAGGCTTAAGTTTTTTAAAACCTCAATTTAATAATGGTTCTTAAACGCTCTAACCTCCCTTCTAGCCCACCACCCACCAGAGGCAGTGGGAAGATGAGGATGTGGGGAAGTGGGCATTTTAGAAGTAGTTCTTTGGAGCTAATCTAATCTGCATTGTCAGAATATATACCATCAGTTTAGTTCAGTAGTGTCAGGACAGCAAACATGAATCAGCAGCAGAGGTATGACCCATCAGAAACAGCCATCTCAATCTGTAAGTCAGCAGACATGACCAGGACCAGCAGGGATGCCAGGAGTTCTCTGCTGGGCCTCTGTCAACTCAGTGAAGATGAGAGACCAGCTAAGTGTTGCAAGGCTGGCTATGTCCCCATCACTGTCTGTTGGGTCAGATTTATACTCCCTCCAAACATTACCAGTCTATAATGGGTCTTGCCTCAGCAAAACACCATGTGAGTCTGTATCAGCTGACACCACTCTGTTAGTCAGCATGGGTTCAGAAACGGCAAGAAGCCACCAGACCACCACAAGAAGTTTTTTTGGTGTGTTGTATGTGTGTGTTTCTATGAAGCCATGACAAAGGGTGAACATAAATGAATGGCAAGGCACACCAATACCATCCAGTGTCATCTACCATCTGTTGGGTCCTTCTTGGCTTCTTGTGTCTTTTTACATGATTGCTTTAGCAAAGCATCCTTTATGTGTGTCTGCTTTAGTGAAATGTTCCTTCACATGTCTACTTGAACAGAGCATTCTTTACCTATGTCTACTTCTGCAGAACGTGCCTTGACATATCTTCTTAAAAACTCCGTCTCCCTGCCCCCTTTGTGCTGGTGCTCTTCCTCCTACAGTAGATCCATTTTCTGTGCGGCACACGTCATTTTCTCCTCCTCCCTTCCACCACCTAAGGTCCCCATCCCTCATCTCCAGTTACCCATACACACACAAATAAAGGTTGGAGTGATATTTTTATGCACTGTGTAAAGATCAACTCTGCCTTACATGAATGCTGATTTTTGAATGGGCAGAGATCTGATTGCAGGCAGGATTTTGGTATTAAGTATCACTTGTCTCACTGTTTTGTAAGCATTCCCTCTTTCACCCTCTGATTGGTTTATTACAAAGCTGATGGCCAATAGCAAAGGCAGGAAGTAGAAGGTTGGACTTTGAAGAAGAGCTAGGACTCTGGGAAGGAGGAGGCAGGGGATTTGCCAGAGAAACAGGGAAGAAGCAAACTGGGACTAAGGATCTGTAACTAACAAGCCACATGGCAGAATTAGAATAGAATAAATGGGTTAATAAGTTACGAGCTAGTTGGGAACAAGCCCAGCTATAAGGCATAGGCATTTATGATAAATGTCTCCAGGTTGTATTCTGGAGTTGGCGGTCCCAAAGAAATACCTGTAACACAGATACACAAATCTAGGTTCCGCAAATGAGAGAAAATATGCATGATTTGGATTAGGGCACATTTTAATTTTTTTGTATCTGTAAAGAACTGGTATCTAAGTGCAGTCACATTTACTTTTTATTTTAAAGGGCACAGGGCATGCTAGTCTGCCTGTAGGTATTAGTAATTAGTATGCCATTGTGGTTTTGATTTTGTTTTTGTTTTTCCTTTTCTTTTTCTTTTCTTTTTTGTTTTGTTTTGTTTTTCGAGACAGGGTTTCTCTGTGTAGCCCTGGCTGTCCTGGAACTCACTCTGTAGACCAGGCTGTCCTCGAACTCAGAAATCCACCTGCCTCTGCCTCCCAAGTGCTGGGACTAAAGGCGTGCACCGCCACCGCCCGGCTCTTTTTGTTCTTCTAATGAGTAACATGGGGCATCATTTCATCAGATTACATGTGTATTTTCTTTGGATAGATAACTGCTCTTAAGTGCTTTGCCATTTGTTTGTCTTTTTTTAAAAAAACTCTTGCTGACTTAGAGCTTACCATGTAAAACCAGAGTAACCTTGAACTCACAGAGATCCTTCTGAGTGCTACACCACCACCGTGCCCAGCCTTAGCTTTATTTGTCTGTTTGTCTGTCTATCATCCATTCATCTGTCATCCATGTATCCATCCTATCCTCCATCCATCTGTATGTACCACTCAGCACCAGCGATCACTGGACAACTCAAGCTGGTTCTCTGGTTCTCTGCTTCCACGGGGAGTCTGGGACTTGTACTTGGGCCACCAGGTACACTGAGCTATCTCGGGCCTATTACTGACTCCTTGAAACAAGCCTCTTAACCACGTAGGGAATTCTCAAGCATTCTCTTCTCATTTTGTAGGCTATCTTTTCAGATGCCTTTTGAAGCACAAGTTTGTAACTTTAATAAGGCCTAGTTTATTTTATTTTTTTTTAAATTTTGTTTCTGATTTTCTTATTCTGAAACTTTTTAGGCCATCTGGATAAGTCCTGTAATCTTTAAGAACTTTCTTTTCTATTTCTTCTTTGTTACTTTTTGTCTATATTATTCTCTAGGAAAATTTCTTAGTTTTTTTTTTTAATACATTTTTTAATGTATGTAGGTGTTTTGCCTGCTTGTATGTCTGCATATGTGTGCAGTGTGCCCATGAAGTCCAGAGGAGGGCCCTGACTCCCTGAGAATGGGCCACAGATGGCTGAGAATGAGCCAGAGTGGAGAGATGGGGATTGAACCTGGGTCCTCTTAACCACTGAGCCAGCCGCTACATTTCGATTGTCTAAGGCTTCTTTCCTTTCTGAGCGCTCTCCCTGTCCCTTACATAGATAGCATGGTGCTTAGATGTCACAGGCTCGATGGACATTTGTTTCTGAAGAGTTTAAGGATAAATCTCGGGTATCCTCAGCTCCGAGATGGTCTCTCTCTAGAGCCCTTCCTGAGCAGCCTGGAATCCGCCGTGTAGCATGGCCCTTCTGCTTCTGCTTCTGCTTCTCAAGGATCACAGACTTGTTGCCACCACACCTAACATAAAGATAATTTTTAAAACATTTTTGTGTATGATCTATTTCCTCTGCATGGTTCCTCTTGCTAATCATGTGTTTGTTTTAAACTCCAGTCTTTTACTTACACACTTGTCTTGATGTTTAGAGGGTTTTGTAGTTTTAGGCTCCTATTTATTTAACAGCTGGTGTCCCAGCAAGATTCTGTTAGCTCTCTCGTTATGATTAGGCCTGCTAATAGTGGGGTTCTTCTGTCTCTGTGTGGCGGGCGGTTCTCGGGTTCCCATTATTTTTCTTGGCGCTAGCTCACTTTATCGTAAAGGAAGTCAGGCTTGGATGTTAGTGTTTGGGCAGCTGAGTCGAACAAGAGACCTGGGGATGTCGGCTCCTTTATCATCTGCATGGACTTCAGGTAAGTCTCAGCGTACGTGGTTTCTCCTCGGCCACAGATAACTCTGTTTTACATCTTGTAGTGAAGTGTAAAACCCTGGGGGCTGGCAAGATGGCTCAGTAGGCAAGGGTCCTTGCTGCCAAGCCTGATGACCTGTTTGTTCTCCTCAACCAACATGGTTGAAATGACTCCCAAAGGTTGTCCTCTAATTTCTTTCTGTGCACAGTTGTATGTCCGTACAGTCACAGGCATACTTAGAGTTTTAAAAGTAAATACGAAACTCTTCCGGAGTTTTGTTAATTTTCATGTGTGTCTATGAGTGTGTGTGTGTGTGTGTGTGTGTGTGTGTGTGTGAGAGAGAGAGAGAGAGAGAGAGAGAGAGAGAGAGAGAGAGAGAGAGAGAGATTACTTGTCTGAATCTGTACTTGGAACTGGGGTTACAGGTGATTGAAACCAGCCTGTTGTGGTTGGTTGGTTTGTTTTTTTAGCACCCTGCCATTTCTGTGCCTGTTTATGTTTGCAGGGGAGGTAGGTGTTGGGAGCTGTGTGGGATGGGCTGATTCTGTGGTGGTCGTTTAGCCCTCTTCTTTCTCATTGCTGACTGTGGCTGTAGAGAGGGCAGTGAGGGGGTGATGGTTCACCCTGGAACTGGAGTAACAGATGGGCTAGCTGACATGTAGGTACTGGAAATCAAACCCTTGTCCTCCGGAAGAGCAAGGAGGCTTTTCTCTAGTCCCTTTTATTTTTTGACTTCCTTGTTCAGACCATGTGTAGTCTTTTTTTCACATTTCATTTATCTTGTGTTTCTTTTTGTCTTTCTGATCCTCCCTCCCTCCCTCCCTCCCTCCCTCCCTCTCTCCCTCTCTCTCTCTCTCTCTTTCTCTCTCTCCCTGTTTGTGTCTGTGTCTGTCCACGTGCATGTGGAGGTCAGAGGACAGCCTGTGGGAGGCAGCTCTGTTCTTTGACAGTACACATTCCGGGAATTGAACGCACATTGACCACTTGGCAGCAAGAGGCTTACACTTTCACGCATCTCACCAGCTCCCGTGTGTTTGCACGAAGTTTGTAGGCATTGTTTTGTAGTCTGGGTATTTCTCTTTTGCCTGCTATGGTTAGAGTCTCAGGTTCTCTTTAACTTGTATATAGTGTTCTTTGTACAGAAGTAGATGTTTGGTTTTATTCTCTTTAAAATCAAAATCATGCTGGGCAGTGGTGGCGCACGCCTTTAATCCAGCACTTGAGAGGCAGAGGCCACCCTGGTCTACAGAGTGAGTTCCAGGACAGCCAGGGCTACACAGAGAAACCCTGTCTTGAAAAGCAAAAAAACCCCAAAAAACCAAAAAACAAACCAAAAAAAAAAAAAAAATCAAAATCATACACATCTGTGTATGATGTATAGATATGTATATTTATATTACACATGTTATATCTAAAGTAGGTATATATAGAGATATGTTATAGCTATACATCATGGATTAATGTTGCTTTTAGCTAATTTTTATTGTCAGAAAATTCATAATGGCCTAAATAAATCCCTACAGTTAGTTACTTTCCATAAATCTCAATTGGGGAACTGGGTGATCTTTACCTCTTGCTTTGCTTCTCTTATAAGATAGCTGCCATGTTCAGACGTTACAGCTCTATACACAACTTAGAGTGAGAGTGGGAGCCCTTAGAGCCCTCGGGGGGCTTGTACATGTTGATTGGCAACCCTGACTGCCAGGAGGAGAGCTGGCTGGCCTGCCTGCTGCCTGCCTGCTGCCTGCCTGCTGCCTGCCTGCTGCCTGCCTGCTGCCTGCCGCCTGCCTGCCTGCCGCCTGCCTGCCTGCCTGCCTGCCTGCCTGACACAGCTTTTGGACCTCGTTTACGGGGCGCTGATGTTGTGCAGTGGCGTCTGCTAGCTTCAGACTTACGTGTTTGTTATTGTTTCAGGACTCCAGTTCAGTTGTAGAGTGGACTCAGGCTCCCAAAGAGCGAGCTCACCGAGGATCGGAACACCAGAACAGTTATGAAGCAGAATGGGACATGGTTAATACAGTGTCGTTTAAGAAGAAACCACATACCAATGGAGGTACGAGTTAACTCTTGGAGATCTTAAGCTGAACAGATGTGCAAAGAAATTCGTTCATGTCCCTCAACCATGAAGGATGAGCTGATCCTTTAATGTGTGTGCAAAATAACTAATTCTGTCCTGTTTTTATTTTTTGTTTTGTTGTTGTGACTTCAAAAGAGGATTTAAAAATACTCGTTCTATTTGTTAGTTACAAAGTAAGAAACACTTAAAAAATAACTTTGGTAAACTCTGCTTGATACTGCACATTGGAGCTCAGCACTGGGCGGCTGAGGCAGGAGGAGCCTGAGTTCAAGGGCAGCCCAGCTACGTCATTACCGCCAAAACCAAAGTCCTTGATAATCTAGTATTTTAAAAATCATGTTATTTCACCCTGTGGCAGCAGGGGGAGATGGAGTATACTGTATACTGTACCATTCTGACTCAGTGTTTATTACGATGTTTTTGTAGCTCATTCGAGTGTCCTCCATATGTTCAGTTGTTCTTCTCTTGTATATTTAAATCTGTATTTACTATGTGTTTACAGGAAGAGCCAAGATGATTTGATATTGTATATACTATGTCAGAAAAAACAGCACGTAGTCCACAGAACTCATGTATTAGACTAAATAACATCTAGCTCACATGCGATATGACCAGTGTATTTATGATTGCTTGTTAAATCAAAGACATGTGCCACTACCTCCCAGCAAGGAAATAACTTAGCAGTGCATTTACTCACACAGATGGTTCTGCTGTGACATTTTCATGTGTCTATATGCTTTCGCCACTTTCCCCTGGACTCTTTTCTAATAGTCTAAGGAAATACCTTTTTTTCTTTCTTTTCTTTTTCCATCTTGAGATAGGGTCTCATTATGTAGCCTTAGGTGGCCTGGTGCTCTCAGAGACCCTCCTGCCTCAACCTCCCCAGTGCTGATATTAAAGGCAAATGATATGATGCTATGTCTAAGAAAATAATTTCTAAGAAATTGAACTTCTTGAAACATTTTATAAAACATTTTAATACTTTATGTGAGTGAGTTTGGAGTTTTTATCTTATTCTTTTCACACTTAGCTTTTACGTTTTTTACTATGTACTTTATCTCCTTATGATGTATAAAGAAAAATTAGAGCATACTTTTAAAAAATGGATTATCAAAGCCTCATTTACTTGGTTTTCATAAAAACATTTAACATACTTCAAATTCTTTGCTTTTCTAAGATCAGTGTATTGAAATGGTTTACTTCCAACTGGGCGGTGGTGGCCCACGCCTTTAATCCCAGCACTTGGGAGGCAGAGGCAGGCGGATTTCTGAGTTTGAGAGTTTGAGGCTAGCCTGGTCTACAGAGTGAGTTCCAGGACAGCCAGGGCTATACAGAGAAACCCTGTCTCGAAAAAACCAAAAAAAAAAAAAAAAAAAAGAAAGAAAGAAAGGAAGGAAGGAAGGAAAAGAAAAGAAATGGTTTACTTCCAGAAGAACGAACTTTTGTGGCTAGAATTCCAGCCCAGTAAATTGTCATATTGTTGATGTGAATTCTATTCAAGACATATACAAAGACTTAGTGAACTGTTTTATTGTACATTTGGCTGTTTACTTTTTCTGATAACATATTGGAGGTACGGTACATGTTCCTGAGAACTAGTTTCTTTTTAACTTCTGCCTTAATGAGAAAGGACATTCTGAATTGGCTCTTGGACTCTTAAGTTTTTTCTTGTAGCCATTTCTGTCCAGTTAGCTGTTGTCTGTAGAGTTACTTGCAGACTACTTTTACACTGACATAGTACAGATTTTTTCTTGCATTTATTGAGCTTGCTTTTGATTACCTCATGTGTTCTAGTCATTTAAGATGTATCCACAAATAAAAAAAGCACTTCCCTCTCCCCATATTTTTATTTTTATTTGGACAGCCTTCCCCTAAATCCCACATTGCTCTGGCTGCCCTGGAACTTGCTGTAGATCAGGTTGGCCTCGAACTCTCAGAGATCCACGAGATCCACCTGCCTGTGCTGCCTGGCCTAAGGAAATGAGTTATAAAAGTTGAACTTCCTCAGTTTTTTTATAAAGCATTTTTAATATTTTGTGTAAGTTCCTGTTCTCCGTAAGCTTGTATTTTAATGGAGAGACTTGTAGACTTGAACTTGTAGTAGTTGTCAGCTTTTGTCAGAGCTTTCAATGGGGAGATGCCTCCCTTTTGTTCTACACCAATGTCTGTGATTACGGGAACGTGTGTATAGAACGTGTGCTCCTGAAGCGCACAGACTCATGTCCTGTGGAGCATTGCTTGTGAGGGTTACTGCAGCTTCAGTTGAATGCAGTGCGGTACAGTTGTCGGGGTGGTTTCTGTTTCTCTTTTATCTAATTTGTCATTGCTGCTCTTTATGAAAATTATTCCACTTCTTGCAAATAAGAGTAGCTTGTAGCATGTATTCTCTGTAGACAGCTCAGGTGTGTATGTAGCATGTATTCTCTGTAGACAGCTCAGGTGTGTACACACTGGTGATAGACATGGGAAGTCGGAATTTTTAGAAATATTCTTAGCGTCCAGTGAGCTTGTCCTTTCTGAGCTCTGTGCTATTGAAACATGCAGCATGTAGGTTTGGGACTTCATCTGGTATCAGCCTTAGATATGTGTTCACCATTCAAACCAGTGTGATGGCTGTGCAGGTCAGTGTGTGCAGATAATTACTATAGCCCTTTATGACAGCTTTCAAGTGGTACCCATTAGGAAATCTTCCTGGAGACAATGGGACTGAGATATCTGTAATTATGTAGAAAGGTGGCGTACATGTGGGTCAGCACCAGTTAATCTCCTTTTTTGAGCAGATTTTGTAAGCATTATTCTTTGTATGATAAGTGGGATGGACTATATAAAGATCTTGAATTTTAAGACTGTATGACTTATCTAATGAAATAACACTTTAAAAAGTGTATATATATTTTTAGATTTCAGAGACATTATATTTCTGAGTTAAATTATGAAAGCAAAGTAACATATTAGAAGGTATAAGTAAATACTTATAGTAAGAAAATACTTTTAAAATAGTTTTATGATTTCTTTTAAGAAGTAATCTTTAAGTTGCTTGTTAACAGTTTGGATAGTGTTCATGGGTCTAAGGTTTCATCTTCTGCAAATTCACTGCAGATTCAGAAATTCATGCAGATTTTATGTAATTTTGGTTTGAATTGTGTTCTTGGTTTAGTAGAAACTTACCTGAGTGGGGCTGGTTATGTGGGGTCGTTGGTGGGGTGCTTATCTAGCAAGTACAGTACACAGTGTCCTGAGGTTAATCCCAGCACCAACTAAGCTGGGCATGCCGTGTGGCACATGCTTGTAATTTTAGCTTTCCAGAGTGGGAGGCAGGGGGATCAGATGTTGAAGGTATCCCCATTACATTGTGAGCTTGGCGCTAGCTTGAAAGACATGAGATCCTGTCTTCCTTCACCCCATGTGGTTCTACACTGCGTGCTGTATTTGAATGTGTTGATAATCGGATCACTCGTTTTAAAATTAGTTCTCTTTAAGAATTGTTCCGTGGTCATTTCTACCATAGGTGAAAACTGTAGCAATATGAGTGTACTGTGTGTCCCTGGGTTAGACGGATAACTACTGAGCAAATGTGATGAGCACTCTCAATACCTTTAAAAAGATTAACAAAGATATTTTGCCCCATTTTCTTGTTTTTAAGATGCTCCAAGCCATAGAAATGGGAAAAGCAAATGGTCGTTCCTGTTCAGTTTGGCAGACCTGAAATCGATCAAGCAAAGCAAAGAGGGTATGGGCTGGTCTTACTTGGTCTTCTGTCTAAAGGATGACGTCATGCTTCCTGCTCTGCACTTCCATCAAGGAGATAGCAAACTACTGATCGAGTCTCTTGAGAAATATGTGGTGTTGTGTGAGTAAGTACCACATTGTTTTCTACTTATAAAGTAGGAGTGTTGTATTAATCCCATGGCAAACTGTACTTGTCACTGAGGGTCAGTGACCTGAGGACACAAGGGTGCAAGTGCACACGGTGGGGTCAGCAATTTAGTTTCTGCATTAGTGATCGAATAGCATTTAGTATTTTGAACCTAAAACTTTTTTTATCAATTTATTAACCTTTTCCATTTTAAAATACCATTTACATATTGTCGTGCATGTGTGTACCTGTGACTGCATTTATGCAGTGGCATTCGTACGAAGGTCATTGCTTCTCCCCTTCTACTGTGAGAGGCCCTGGGATTGAACACAGGCCGTCTAGGTTGGCAGCAGGGGCCTTTACACTGATCCATCATGCTGTCCCAACATATTCTTTTTGTTTGTTTGTTTTTTAAGGGAAAATTAGTCCAATATTTTTATATAATTTAATGATGATGCCTCAGTAATTATGAATTATGTTTTCTTAATTTACCTTTATTCAGTTTTATTTTAAGTATACAGTTTTATATGTAAGATTGGAACTTTGAGTCAAGCAGTTCTTCCTTTTATAAAGTTGTAAGTTGGGAAGCAAGGCCCTCTGACTCTGCAGACATTCTGTCTCTCTGTTCCTCTGCCTGTCGGCACACAGTCCCCTCTTGCTCTTGTTCTCAACAAGCACCGTTTAGGGTGTCCCTCAGAAAAGGCTGTCCTGATCACTGGATACTCAGTTGTGAATGAAGCAGGCTTGTTTGTGGGCCTCTAGACGGGATGTCATGAGTGAAGTGACGAGTGAGTGACAGCAGTGACAGTGAGATAAAGGAAGTGTGAGGCCGCCATAGATACGAGGGAGCTTTACCTAACATCCTGAGAGGTTGGTGAGCGAGCAAAGAGGACCTGCACTAGCCATCAGGGAGTGTACAGTATTAAAAAATGAAATACTTAGAGAAGATTGTGTGGCTGATGCTTTTGATGTAGCTACATCTCCTGTGGTCACTTTAGGGGTCACTGTGATGCTTTGGAGCTCTAGAGCTGGCTGACCCCAGTAGCTGAAGAGTGCACATTTTATTCCTTTCCTACAGATCAGGCAGCGCTTTTATTTTCTAAGATTTTAAGTGACTTGATGTACTTTACTGTTAGAAACAAAATAACCCTGCACCAGTAAATGCTGTGCTAGAAGGAACAGTTCCTACACTTGTACAGCATCTGCTTTTCGGGTGCACATTTAAAAGTTGGCCTGTTGTAAACATGACTTGCTAGAAGAGAATCCATGGCTCTGCATTTTAATCACCTGCCCTAGTTTCAGAAAAACATAATGAATGAAAATGTAATATGTTTTAATTGCCTCCTGTGGTGGTTTGTATATGCTTGGCCCAGGAGGTGTGGCCTTGTTGGAGTAGGTGTGTCACTGGGGGCATGGGGTTAAGACCCTAACCATAGCTGCCTAAGACACCCCCCCACACACATACACACTTGATTGTGCCACAGTGTATTAGCTTCTGTTGTCTTTCAAGGTTCCAGTGTTGTTTATGACCATGTTGGGAAAAGATCCTGTTTTGGATTTCATATCCCCTCTAGCATTTCTGCTTTATCCTGTTATGTTAGAATCAAGACCGATAACTGTTATTAAAGATCTTATCTCAGACATTTGTAATAAACTAGAGATGTATTGGAGCAGAAAACATTTAGTTTTTATTTTAAACATAGAACATTTATAGATTTATTACAGCTAACTTACTAGGTCACAAAGCAATAGAAAAAGACTGGTTAGTCTGTCTGATTCTGTGGAATTAAGTGTTTGGAAAGCACAGTGTTTAGTCTGTGGTTATTAAGAAGTCTGGGAAGAGACTTGTTCTTTGAGCTTTAATAAGAAAACTAGAACTGTATGGTCACTGAAAATATATCCGTGTGTGTGTGTGTGTACACTTTTGTATATATGCATGTATAGTTATGGTTAGCATCATTATCAAAGAACCTTCATATCTTGTATTCTTAAACGTTTTGTATTCTAATACTAACAAGCTGTGGAGCAAATTTGGAAACCAATTCAAATTATGTTTCTTATTTTGTATATATCACATACTTGAATCCTACAGTTTGTTTTCATTTGTTTTTATAGCAGAGACATATATATTGTAGACCTTTCTATTGTAAATTTTATCTATGGATTCAGTTTCATGTAACATAAACATCTTGGCTTTCCCTTGAATAAAATCATGAAAATATCTTTGTTACATTCCATTTTAAGATTTAATATTTTGAGTGGAGAAATGGCTCAGTAGTTAGAGAAATTGCTATTCTTGTAGTGGACCCAGGCTCTGTTCCCAGAACCCACACATGCCCACTCACAACCACCTTTAATACAGTTTTTCAGAGGTCTGGTGCCCTTTACCAGGTACATATGTGTCCTGCTACATACATGTAAGCAAATGCACACACAATAAATTTTTTTTAAAAAAAGCTGGATAGTGGTGGTGTACGTCTTTAACTCCAGCACTTGGGAGGCAGAGGCAGGTGGATCTCTTGAGTTCTAGGCCAGCCTGGTCTACAGAGTGAGTTCCAGGAGAGCTGAGGCTACACTGAGAAACTGTCTCAACAAACAAAAGAAAATTTAGTATTTCATGTTTCATAAAGTTTTATAGTTCTAGGTATTTTCTAATAGGACATTTATTTATACTAGGAAACTTCTGGAGCTAGAGTTTTTTTTTAACTCATTAGTAATTATTTAGGCGATACTGAAGTATTGTGGTAGTAATTTCTAAAAGTTTCTGTTTCTACTTACAGATCACCACAAGATAGTAGAACACTTCTTGTCAATTGTCAGAATAAGAGTCTTTCACAGTCTTTTGAAAATCTTCTTGATGAACCAGCATATGGCTTAATACAGGTAAGTTATAGTCCATAGATGTATCCTTTATCTGTATATTGGTTTGAGTCTATCGTTTGTATTCCTCATCTCCTGCTCTCAGAGCCCACAGAATGAGCAGGCGTGTGTGATGTTTATGGCACGGCACTGTGTAGTCTTACAGAGTAATAATTGCTAGTAAGCCAGGTCTGCTGAAGTAAGACAGCAGACTAATTGTTTTTCATTCATGTGGAGGATCACAGAGTCAGATATTTCAACTTAATGATTAGTTTAGAAAGCAGTAGATAATGTGGATATTAGGATGTATCTGATTCTTCAGAGTGTGTTTAGCTAGAGTCTTGCTTTTGGCCACTCACTGAACTCGTGCAGGACCCCTGATAGTTGTCAGCGCTTCAGCCACTTCTGCACGTGCCGGAGTGCTTACTAGGATTCTGGCACGTTGTCTTGACTTTGGCCGTGTAAAGACTAACAGCGTAAATGGAGAGTTCAGAAAGGAATAGGACAAGAGGATCTTCCCCTTAAAGAAGTTCTTCTGAGTAATTATTTAATAAACAACTGTTTTTGGTAAACGTAAGTTAGTAGGCTTTAGAAATACCCCTAGGACGAGACATAAGGAAAACTTTGCTGTTTTCAAGACACCTCTGCCCTAGAACTGTTTTTTGACATGAACAACTAATATAATTGGATTAAAACATCAGCTCTTACCCAAATAAATGAGCTTTTAAATTAATCTAGTGAATATTTTGTGTTAGTGTGGTAGTGCACACTTGAAGAAATACATCTGTGTATTTTTTTTTGTGAAGGCAGGCCTGCTAGACAGAAGAAAGCTGCTGTGGGCCATTCACCACTGGAGAGTAAGCCCTGTGCACACTGTATGCAGCTTGAAGCCGGCAGAGCATTTGTTGATCAGCAGTTCAATCAGTAGCATTAAGTTGTCATTTAGTGTGCCATTTTAACTAAATGATTTAAATTTAGAATTTCTTTCTAGAAAAACCCCTAAGATAATCATAGAATACTCTGTTTTAGCTCTGATTTCTCTCCTTTGATTTGCTTTTTTGCCACTTGCGTGATAATTTGTTCCTTATTCTTTTAATTAATAATGCTAATATTTTTTCTACTACATAGAAAATTAAAAAGGATCCTTATACAGCAACCATGGTAGGATTTTCCAAAGTTACAAACTACATTTTTGATAGTTTGCGAGGCAGCGATCCCTCTACACATCAACGACCACCTTCAGAAATGGCGGATTTTCTTAGTGATGCTATTCCAGGCCTGAAGATAAATCAGCAAGAGGAGCCGGGATTTGAAGTCATCACGAGAGTGAGTGGAGATTCAAGTAGTCTTGTTCTTAACATTGCAGTAGAAGAACGCACAGTGAATATAAGAGAAAATACAAAGAGAAAAGCAAGCTCCTTGTTCACGTCTGCTTTCTGCAGCCCACTCACACTAGCTGGGCTTGCTGATTCATTCTCACATACTGTCTCTCATTAACGCCTCGTCTTCTGTCATGGCTTTTTGGGAATAACAGAGAAGTTGTTTTGTGGAGTGCAGAGAAGTAAAAGGAATGCTGAGTTTGCCCATTGCCTGTTAGGTTTGTTTGTGATTTGCCCATTTCTGTGTAGGTACCAGAGGCAGCTTGACGTGACTCGGGGCTCTGTTCCCCTTACAAATCTTTACTAAGTAAGGGAGATGGGCTTGTGCTTGAATGAAAGCAGATCTTGATATAATGTTCAACAAGACTTTAGAATTTGCTGCAATTTGAGGGTTGCTCATCATTATAAAACTAAAATTTTAAATTGTAGAACTTAATTAAAGGCTTTATCTTTAAATAGTATTTTAAAATTGCCAGCGTCTATTAATTGAATAAAAACAGTAGAAACTGCCAAGTGGAGCGAATGAATCATGAATCAATTTTGAGAATTGCAAACCTCAGTTTGTAAGAAAAGCTAATTTTAGAGTGTGATAGTGAAATAATTATATTCTGTTTCTTTTTAATAATATACCATTTGATTCGAGGGTTTCATAGGCTTGATGTTGAATGATTTTTACTTATGTAATTGAAGATACAATGACAAAACTATTTGAATCACAAATACTTTCAGTCAGTGCAGTCTCTGAATTTGTCCTGTAGAAGGGAGATGTGTATAATGCTGCCTAGTCAAGCTCATGAACTTAGACCTGGAAAAGGAGGAAGGGGAGGAGCAGCATACAGCTCACACCTGAGGAGCTGTGTCTTAGGAGTCTGTATTGTGCCTTCATTTCATTTACAGATGTATGAGAAGTACTCTTTATTTCTCTTCCTGATGTAGATTGATTTGGGAGAGCGACCTGTTGTTCAAAGGCGGGAACCAGTGTCCCTGGAAGAATGGACCAAAAACCTGGATGCTGAAGGAAGACTCGTCAACGTAGAGAGCATGAAGCAGAGGATATTCAGAGGGGTACTGCCTGTGGTTGTATCAGGGTTGTGGTGGTTGGTTTCTTTTTCAGGAAGAATTGAGTCTCGTTTCTTTGATGAAAGATGTAATAACGTGTCTGTATTGAGTGGAAGAGTGGGGTGCTTACAGCGCCTGAGTGTTCAGTTTGTGGACGTCCATAAGTCTAGAGAAGAGATTTGTTCTTACTTTGTTATGTGGGCTCCATGAGGAGCCTTATGAGAGTAGCATTGTCCTCCCCAGTATGGCTGACCTTCCTCCTCAGCCTGCTGTGTGCTTACATCGTCGGGGCCTAGACACAGGAAGCAAGATAGCATTCATTGAATTATTTTGGGATATGAAACTTAGCTATTAAGTTTCCCATTTATATTCAAGTTTTGTGAATATATGTTATTGGTTTTTTTGTTGTTGATTGGTTTTTTAACTAATGTGATTAATATGAATACTTTCTTCAGGGTCTTAGTCATTCATTAAGAAAGCAAGCATGGAAATTCCTCCTGGGTTATTTTCCTTGGGATAGTACCAAAGAGGAAAGAACTCAATTACAAAAACAAAAAACGTAAGTAAATGGATGCTTTGTATGTTTATCAGAGAAACTCCTGTACCCCACCCATACAAATTAAATTTTTATTGGAAGGTTTGGAGTAGACCAGGAAATGGGAGGACAATTAGATTTCATTGTTTCAATTTAAAAATTAGAAGCAATGTAATTATTTCAAAGCAGAAACACTTATTTAGAAGGATCTAGTTATAGTTATGCTTGTGAATATGTAAACATGGTAGAATATCCAAGTTTCCTGTGCTGGCTTTGCATAAACTCAACTATTTAGATATCCATTAAAGTATATTATTCATTTCTATTGGTTTTATAATTCAGTTATGAAATTGTAGAATTGGGTTATATGTGTATTTGCTCTTTATGTTACCTGTAAGTTATTTTCATGTGCTTGTACAATGGTCACATAAAAGAAAGCGTCTTTTTTTTTTTTTTTTTTTTTTTTTTGGTTTTTTTGAAACGGTTTCTCTGTGTGTAGCCCTGGCTGTCCTGGAACTCACTCTGTAGACCAGGCTAGACTCGAACTCTCGAACTCAGAGATCCGCCTGCCTTTGCCTCCCAAGTGCTGGGATTAAAGGCGTGCGCCACCACCGCCCGGCAAAAGAAAGCGTCTTTATTTATTATTCTTGTAGAGAAATACTGCTAACTTCCCAGGCATTTTTAATGTCTGATTTTCAATCTTACCTTTGATTTTAAACTATTTTCAACCATTATGTGCATATTAAAAGTCTTTCTCCTTTATATTATCAAGTTTTCTAGAAAAAACAGTAGGAAAACAACTTTTAAATTGGGTTTAAAAAGTTATTTGAATTTTTGTTTATATCTATTCAAGAACTTTTGTGGCTCAAATATTTAATAAGTAGAATAAATTTAGAAATCATTTTAGGAATTGAAGTGTGTTAAAGTGTGCCTAAAATGCCAGCAGCTGAAGTTCAGCCATCTGTTTTCTGTTTCACCTGTCTAACTAAACACTTATGAAACACTTCATGTTTGTAAACGTACCACCAACGTCATAAAGAGTCTGCTATACTATGTATACTATACTATGTATGTATACTATATGTATACTATACTATATATACTATACTATGTGTACTATACTACATGTATACTACACTATATGTATACTATGTATACTGTACTGTGTATACTATACTGTGTATTCTATACTATATGTATACTATACTATTTGTATACTGTACTATATACTATACTATGTATACTATACTGTGTATACTATACTATATATATACTATACTATATGCTATACTATGTATACTATACTATGTATACTATACTGTGTATGCTATACTATGTATTCTATACTATATGTATACTATACTATATGTATACTATACACTATACTGTGTATACTATACTGTGTATACTATACCATATGTATACTGTACTATGTACTATACTATGTATACTATACTATGTGTACTATACTATATGTATAATATACTATGTATACTATACTATATACTATAGTATGTATACTATATGTATACTATGTATGCTATACTATGTATACTATACTATGTATGGATAACTCAAGTAAGCAGTGTCACAAACACAAGGCTCAGTGGCGTTCCAAGTCTCAGTGGTGTTCCTGGTGTGCACTGTCTCCTACAGTGATGAGTACTTCAGGATGAAACTGCAGTGGAAGTCTGTCAGCGAGGCACAAGAGAAGAGAAACTCACGCCTGAGAGACTATAGAAGTCTGATTGGTAGGTTTCCATACATGATAATATTGGGGCTCAAAAGTAATCTGAATTGGGGGGTGCGGGGAGTATACATTTATGTGTAGTCTAGCAGGCCTCTCAGTTTAGCCTTTGCATATTTAAGTACTGACATACTATTCCAAAATATGAATTAAGAAAAGATTATTTTCTTATTTTAAAAGACTTATTTTTCTTTTATTCCCTGTAAAAGTGATGTGCTTATTGTCAAAAAATTAGAAACTGTATTATATAGATCCAACTGGTTCTGAACGCTGAGATTCTCCTGCCTCTGCCTCCTGAGTGCTGCTGTGTACCACCATGCTGACCTTTACTTACTTTAAGTGATTTTATGTGGGACATTTTTGAATTTGAAAATAGAATATTTACCTGTGAATAACTAAAACATACAGTTTTAGCACTAAGACCATTAGACTTAGTTCTGGGATACCTGGCCCCTGTGGTAAAAATAAAATTTAAACTATTGAAGGCTGCTTAGATTATTCTATACACACCTACCTGGCCTGTCTCAGCTCACAGTTGGTTTTAGAGAAGCATTAAGAATAAGAGTGGTGCTGGGTGGTGGTGGCGCACGCCTTTAATCCCAGCACTTGGGAGGCAGAGGCAGGCGGATTTCTGAGTTCGAGGCCAGCCTGGTCTACAGAGTGAGTTCCAGGACAGCCAGGGCTATGCAGAAAAACCCTGTCTCAAAGAAGAAACAAACAAACAAAAAATCAAATAAAACAAAACCAAACAACCAAACAAAAACAAAAGAGTAGGAGTGGCTCGTTACATGGTTGAGCATGGAGTCCAGGTTAAGTACCCTTTAACTGTCTTTTCACGTTATATTTATATGATTTTTCATAATATTAGAACTTAGTTTCAAATTTTTATATTGAATTTCCATATGATAGAAATTTATAGGATCATAAATAAGACTTTTTTGTCATTACTGTAGCCACTAACACCCAGTTGTGGAAGAAAGAACTCTGTAAGTTAAGCTGAGTGTGCTGGTGTATTATGTAATCCCAGACCTGGGGAATGGAGGCAGGCAAAATGATCTGAATTTAGTCTTATAATACACACACACATGCATATGCACACACATACTCACACACTCCACAATACATAATTCTGGCCAGCCAGAACTACGTAGCAAAACTCTTGTCTTAAAGAGCCCTCTAAGTTATGCCTAGAAAGGTCAGTGTATTAATGAGTCAGGACTTCTGTGATACAGAGACAACTGCTGCCATCTGTTGGCCATAGTAATATCCCCCTTCCCCCACCCCCACCCTCCCAGGTAAATTTGGAGTTCTCTGTCATGGGTTGTTTAAGGATTCCATCTGAAGGCACCTACTGTTCCCAGTGTCAGTAGAAAAAGTGGTGATGGTCTGTGTTCCCTTCCCCTCTTGTTTGAACATGAAATGCTCAACCTGTGAAGGACACTAGAAGCTAACTTGGTGAATATTTGAAGGCTCGTTTCTAATGCATGCCGTATCATCTTCCCGTTACGTTTGAGCTGTAGTAGCTCTCATTCTTGTGCCTCATTCCTGAAAACTCCTGATGCTCCTGTCCTTGTCTTTGCCTCCCACTTAGCTTAAATCTCCCAGTGATTTGAATTAAGACCTGTTTTTGTTCAGTTTGCTCATTTTTAGTGGAAAATAAAGGTTACTGATTTGTTTAATCTGTCTAGGTATTCTAGTGGCTTTTAAAGCAGGCATGCACACAAGCACGAATGTCAGATAGGCGGTTTACCGGGGCTTACTGGTCAGCTGGTCTCACCATTTAGTGAGGCCTGGGTTCAGTGAAAAACACTGCTTCCAAAAAGGTCCAGATGGAGTGATGGAGAAACCCTTTGGGGTCACGGATGCGCATACCCCATGTATACCTGCAGACATGTATTCATGCATGCACACCTCTGCACAGGAGGCTATAGGCTTTGTGGATCATAAGGAGATGGATTTAAGTGTAATGGAAAACCTGGAGCACTGTAAGAGTGTATTATTTATATTTGTTTTTTGTTGCTATGTGAAAATGGGTCATATTAAGTTATAGGTAGGAGTAAGAAAGCTGTCTAAGATATAAACAGGAGTAAAGAAGCTTGGTTAACAGGAGGTAGAGTCTAAGTAGGAGAGAGATGGTGGTAGTGCAGAGTTAGAGGACCCGTGGTGTTGGTAGAGTTTACAGGAATTTTGATGTATTGAATATTTAGTGAAATAGGATGAGTCATTCTCTTGGCTAGAGAAACCAGGTGCTTAAGCGAGACAGTTACTCAGCTGAGAAGAGTTTTGAGCCGAAGAGTAACCTGAGCTGAGTTAAGGCCGCTCACGTTGGTGCCTGCAGAATAGTTCTAGAGGGGCAACAGCAGTGGGAGAACAGCTGTGTGAGGCAGCTACTAGTCCAGAGGAGAGGTGATGGCTGTTTGCCGTGGGAGACGAACAGCCGGCGGACACAGGTCTCCACAAGTAGACTGAAGCAGCTCTGGGGTTTGTCCTGCTACTCTGTGGTGAGGGGACAGCAAAGTCTAGACTTAATTTTCCGGGACACTGAAAGTTTAGAGAAGAGCCAGGACACCACCGTGGCTAGAGTGTAGTCACTGGGGGAAGGGGTGCGGTGAGTTGGTTTCTGTGTGTAGTTTGAAGACTTAGTGTTCAGGGTCAGTCAAGGCAAGGAAGGATGAATGCTATTTTTAGTGTGAGTGACTGGAGAAATGGAGTTGCTGTGCTTTTAATAAAGATGAAAAAAGCCAGAAGAGGAGACAAGTTTGTAAGGGGGTATTTGGAATTCAGTTTCCGAAAATAATTTTGAGGTATACCTTGGCTATTCACTTAATTAATATGTCAGTATGGAGGGACTCAAGTGCTAGGTGAGTTAAGAGTGAGGGATAAGTTTAGGGTCACTAACATACTGGGTAAGAGACTGAAATAGTGGTTTAGGAAACTAGATAACATTTGCTAACCAGGCCCCAGGACTGAAGGTACTTAAGGTACTTTGATTTACAAGTGGGGCTGTTATGGAGAAAGCAGGAAAAGAAACGGGCAAGAGAGGAGAAAGGATGGCACGAGACTGTGGTTTCCTAAAAGACTATGACCATGGTTCAGGGAGGGGCTGATTTGTCAAAAAGGTAAGGACTTTCTCTGGGGACAGTGCTGGAGATGATGAGAGTCTGATTTTAAGGAATGTTTTGTGGATTGTTGGGTGCGACAAGATCTGCCTGAGTTCAGGAGGAACAGGAAAGAACTTGGACACAGCACATGGAGGTTTGGCAGACTTCTCTAAGGAGATGGGGAGAGATTGGAGCAGCACACAGGTGGGATTGCAGAGGTCTCTGTGAGGATGAGACAGGCGCACGGTGGAGTGCTATGGACTGCGGTAAAGAAAAACTGACCAAGGCCACTCTCCACAGGTGGAGACCAGAGGACAACTTTTTATGGGAATTGGTCCTCCAGGAATTATTTCCTTAAGTAAAGCTTTACAAGAAGTAAAATTAATAAGAAATTCTGTGCTTGTTAGATAAAGCTTTATATAAGAATCTATTTTTTTTAAATATGTGATTTTCTTCTTTAGAGAAAGATGTCAACCGAACAGATCGAACAAACAAGTTTTATGAAGGCCAAGATAACCCAGGGCTGATTCTACTTCACGACATTTTGATGACCTACTGCATGTATGACTTTGATTTAGGTGAGTTTCCTGTGTCTTGATTTAAATGAAGACTTCTGTGTGCTTGCCTTAGAATTTCATGGGCTGACTTGGAAGTAGTAATTTGGAAGTGGTAATTGCTTTAGAAGCCTGTAAGGCTGTGACTCCACAGGCGAGCCCTGGGTTGCCACAGCAGTCACAGGGCACTTGTAGAGTTATTTTAATTTTTTGAGAGAATTATAGTGATACCTGCAGGACATTACTGTATCAGCTGAAATAGTTTTAGGGATTTGGACATTGCTTGCTATGTTTCCTTTGATGAAGCTACTTATTTTTTAAGGCTGCGTGTTTGGCCTTGCTGTGATAAGTAAATGTATGTAAAAACCAAGGGACACAGGTGAAGATGGTGATACTTTATGAACTTCCAGCTTTGAGAAGTTGTGAGAACCGGGCAGGGCTTGAGAGGTGCTCTGTTGTTGAGTGGACAGAAACACAGGCTGAGGTTAGCTACATTTTACCTGAGTGCTTTGAACCAGGGGTATTTCCGTTTCTTAGCTTTTTGGATTTGAGAGCTTATCTAGCAGGAGAGTGAAGCTGCTCAGATCCCCTGCACTGCAGAGCCTTCTCTTTTGTATGGAGAAAACTCGACTGTTGGCAGAGTAGTAAGGGAGAGAGCCGCCGGCCTCCAGGCTGAATGCAGCCAGGTCAGCTGAGTCCGTGCTGCTCATCAGTGGGGTACAGATGGAGCCAGCTCTCCCTCACAACAAACTTTGGATTTTGAGTGTGTACATAAACTTCACTTATTCCTAATCCGGAAAGCTGAAATATATCACAACCTGAAACTTTTAGCCCTTGGTCAACTATTTGGAATAAGTATGTAATAAATGGAACTGTTAGTTATTTCTTGAAGTTAGGAATATCTTGAAAAAAATTAGTGAGACATTAAAAATATGTTTGTGGAGAAAACTTGAGAACCATTGTTTATGCTTTTATCCTTTTGGAGAAAATACTGATCAGAACTCTCAGAGGAGTAGTGTGGATTATTCTGTGGGTCCTACCAAAAATGAGTTAATAGGACTGGCATGTGAAATGGGGAATCATACAGGGATGTGTCTAGTTAGGGTTTTGTTGCTGTGAAGAGACACCATGACCAAGGCAGCTCTTAAAAGGCAGACATTTAACTGGGGCTGGTGTACAGGTTCTGAGGTTCAGTCTATTGTCACCATGGTAAGGAGCATGGAGGTACACAGGCAGACATGGTGCTGGAGCAGCCAAGAGTTCTACATCTTGATCTGAAGGCAGCAGAAGGAGACAATGTCACACTGCATGTAGCTTGAGCATAAGAGACCTCAAAGCCCTCCCCATAGTGACACACTTCTAGTAAGGCCACACTTCCTAATAGTGCCATTCCATATGGACCAAGCATTCAAACACATGAGTCTTGAGTTACTTACTACCATTTGAGTGGCTCCCAGATACAGACCATCAGAAATAGTAAGTAGAGCTTAGAGTATCTTTGGGGGTAGTTGATTGGATACTCAGCATGTTTAAACTCAAGTGACCCTTGAATTATAAGTAACACTCTCTTCATTGCTTGTATTTCTAGTAATTCCCTTGGTCACGGTTCTCAAGGCATCAGGCTCTTCAGTGGCAGTATATTAAAATTAGAGAGCTGTAAATAAAATGCAAAAGTAGAGCCCGTCCTTCCTGCCGCTCCTACAGTGAGCATCCTACCGGATGATGGAAAGGATATGGAATGACTGAGGTTATCACGTGCTGTTACACTTGCACGCACGCACTAAACAAAGCATAGAAAGCATGTTGTCATGGAAGCTGCACTGTGCTACAGTATGTCACAGTATACCCTGCTGTCCACATGGCTGTACTGAAATGTTCATTGCAATGAGTTAGTGTTCAGGACTCTCAATACTGGATCCTCACTGGGACTCCTCTCAGTTATCCTGTTGTTGACTGTATCGTGGAGATCCTGCAGCTTTGGGTCAGCAGGACCAGCCCCTTCACAGGCCCCAACAGTTCACAGATGATGATTTGGGGTTGGGCCAACTCTGGATCCCGTGTCCTGGGTGGCAGCTGAGTGGTCAGCCTGCCAGGCTCTCCCTTATCTGCACCACCAAGGAGAGTGCTCAGCACTGTTCTGGCTAGGCCACCCAGCGCCACCACTGGCAGGAGGCAGGATCAGCTCTCCCACTCTTAGGCCCTTGGGGCTGGCTCCCCTGTGCTGCCCAGTTGAGGCACAGGGCCCACTCTCTCAAGTGCTGCAGCTTGCCAAGGGGCTGGGCCAGCTCTTCTGGGGTATATGTGAACTACTTGTTCACATAATCATGTACTATAGGGTCATGACGGAGAAGTTACTATACTGTCAAAGAAAAGGTAGTTTAAGAGACAGCTTTAGCTGCTAGGATAATAAGATAAAATACAGTTGCTAGCCTTAGTCGGTCAATACCAAGGGAAAAGGAAAAGCACTGGTGATTACTATTTAAAGGTAGGCTTTGTGGTTTATGTGATTTAGCCAGTGTGGTGCATGCTGGGGTGGTGCGCCTTTTCCAGTTCTGCTTTGCTCGTGGATTTGGTACGCTGCCCCTGGTCACTCTGGCCTTGTGACTTTTCTTTCCGGTATTTCAGTAATTTTTCCCTTTAGGGTTTCTTTGCCTGCCTGTCTGTTTCCTCTTCAGTGCCTGTTTGAATATGTGGATTTCACTTTCTTCTGGGTTATTCTTCATCTCTTCTTTCGTATGATGCTTTTGTACATCTTTTTAAAAAGCTACTTTTTATTAAAATTGTTATGTCATTTCCCTTCCCTCTGCTCACTCTAGTCCTCTGTTTCCCCCTTGCACCCTCTATAAGTCATGGCCTATTTTTCTAATTGTACTCTCTATATGTACACGTGTATGTAGAGAGAGAGATTGAATGAGTGAATATATAAATGCAGCCTGGGTCCATTCAGGGTTAGGTGCACGTGTGTGTGTTTAGGGCTGGCTACATAGTATTAGATAGCAATGGGGGAGGTAGTCCATGGAAAACTAATCCTCCATCTCTCAGTAGTCAGTAGTTGCCTGTTGTCTCGGGATGGGGGCCCGTTGGTGATGGGACCGTTTAGCATGTCATCTGGTGCTGACATGGTTGAGATCTTGTGTGATAGTCGTATTGTTGATTTCATGAGTATAGCTTCCCTGTTGCATCTAGAAGGCAGTATCTTGCAGCAGACTCCCTGGTCCTCTGGCTTTTAGAACCTTTCTGTCTTCTTTTCAGTAATGTTCCTAGAGCCCTGAGCATAAGGGGTTATGTTGTAGGTGTACTGTTTGGGATGGACACCTCAGTGGTCAGTTGTCCGCTCTGTTTGACCAGGTTGAGGATTTCTGTGATAGTCTCCCTCAGTCTAAAGCGGCTTCTCTGTGAGAGAGGCACCTGTGTGTGGAGATGAGGATGTGACCTGTCCTTGCTTGGAATATCTGCATTAAAACACTCTAGCAGCTAGATACGTGGTGACCATGCCACTCAGGAACAGCCTGTCTGTCTCTCTCATACATTTACAAGATTCAGATCTTTTTAGTTTTCTTCATGAATGTATCTGCCAGTTTTTAATTCATAAAAAGGGAATTTTCAGCTACATGGTGGTGATATGCACAAAAGGATTCATGAGATTTAGGTTTTCAGAGACTTCCCCCTTCTTCTTCTTCTTCTTAGGGTATGTACAAGGAATGAGCGACTTACTTTCCCCGCTTTTGTACGTGATGGAGAATGAAGTGGACGCCTTTTGGTGCTTTGCCTCTTACATGGACCAGATGGTAAGCAGAGGGACTCCGTCCTGTACTCAGACTGACTCGGAAAGTGTCGTCGTGCTAATGCATGAGAGTGATGAAAATGTCTAGCCACTAGGATGGAGCTGGACATGTTTACTTCATAATCTGATTTTAATTCTTTTTAACAACCATTCAGTAGGCTGGGGAAATATTAGAATTCTTTTTAATATGAAAATGGATAATATCTGTTGGTAGTGTAATAATTATTGGGATCAGCAAGTGCTTCTGTTCTGCCACCATAGAAAATTGATGAGTAGATGACTTCAGTTTTGTGAACTACTAGTTCCAGAAACCAAGCTTAGCATCATGCTAAGCAGTCTACTGACCTTCAGTGACTGTCTTGGATTTTGTCATAATACCTGACTTTTCTCCACATGTGCTCTTTAATGCACTTTCTTAGCAATCCATTTCTTGTTATTTCCCAAGAAGGATGTCATCTCTAACAGTGTCGTGGTAGATGTATTGGCATACAGCGTTTTATCTGTCATTCTTACTGTATCTTTGAGACATTAGTACAGAGCCACTATTAACAGAGCAAGCTCTTCCCCAGCACTTAGAAAATGATTAGAGTAGGTGAGTGGGTGGAGGAGTATGAGTACAGAAAGGCTTATGTGAAACGTAAAGGCCTAACCATGAAGATCACTGCATTGTTTAAAAACACAACAAATAAACTGAGTCTCTGTGGTACACACTGAACTGGCTTGCTGTGCAGTCCCCTGCAGTAGAGTTTGTGGTGCACTTTAACTCAAGGCTTCAGGAGGGAAATTGCAGAGGACATCTTCTCCTTGGTTCTCTACTTCTTTTTCTTGCCTATTTTTCTCTCTCTGTTTGTCTGTTTCCTTAAATCTGTTGTCTATATTTTGAATTTATCTTTACCTCTTTTAGTTCTTTTTCATATATACTTGATAATATTTATAGTTTTTAAATATTCTTTTATTGTTGCTTATACTGTTAACTCGGTGCATGTTTAAATTAGTCCTTTACTGCGAATTGCTTTTGGGTCATTTGGAAAGGTTATTGGTTGCAGTAACCTAGTCATAGAGCCTCTTCCCTACCTTTATGATGGATTGATTTTCCTCCCTTCTTATTTCCAGTTTCTCCCAAATGCTCTAGAGACCTGAGACATTTGTTAAAAAAGTCTGTACTACTAATGACAGTTTCATAAAAACTGTCCTGGGTTTTGTTGCTTACCCTCTTTTCACTAGAGGTAGTGTGCTCCTTGTAAAGGGCTCATGCATTTATTTTATTTGTAGGTGGAAGAGTTTTCCTAATGCTCCCTATGAAGTGGTTTAGCAAATTTTTGTAGAATAAATATATGAATCTTTACCCTAGTCTTTAGTTGTACTTCCAGTATATATCCTCCAATTAATATGAATGTACTGTGCCTATTATATGTAATAATTTTCAACAAAACAACCAATATTAACATATGTGCACATGTACATGTATTTAGGTCTGATCCATAAAGACTACTCTATAACCTGTAATTCAGTTTTTCTCATTTTTGTGTACCAAGAAATTTCAGTTTTTCTATTCTTAATTTTCATTTTCTTACTATTTGTTGTAAATGTTCTATGCTTGTCTTTTTCATAGAGGAGAGTCTTGTGATCTAGTTTTTATTCTAAAAAGATCTCCTTTTAGGCTACTACTGTTTTTATAAAATGTAGTGTTCCTGTGGAAGGCAGTGTGTTTCAGAAAGACACGCCTGGTTGTGTTTTGTGTTACCATTGCTTCCTGTGCCTTAACTCACTGTCACTTGACTCTGATGACTTTACTCAATGTGAGGGTTTTGATTTTTATCTTTTTTTTTTTAACTGTTTTTGTAATTGCTGAACCTAATGCCCATAGTTTTATTTTAGTGGTATCTTCACATCTGATATGTAGCTCCAGGCATAAACTTTGTCTAATGGAATGTTTGCTAACTAGAAATAACATAATGAGCTTTACTGAGGTCATCATCTATTTTATTATATAGGTTTTTCTCTCGTTTTCTTTCCCTTGTGTTCCCAAGATCCAGTTAAAAGTCTCTTCTTGAGGAAGGAGTGCTCTCTTAAAGTGGATTCGATCACTCTCTAGATGCTTTTTTTATTTCCTGTGGTTTGATGAATTAATGTTGTCCTTCCCAGTAGCTGTCTGGTAACTGAGGAACGAGAGGCTTGAGATTATTTATTAAACTGATTCCTTAGTTCACTGAAGAGGAAGCTGTACACCAAGAATGGCTTCTACACTGCTAGTTTTGCTACAGTGCTACTGGAAAGCTGTGAAGGGAAAGTGGGGAAGATTGGGCTGAGGCTTTTCACCTCAGCCAAGTTGAGGCCTCTGAGTTGAAGGGTCAGAATGCCTGAGGAGGTTTGTGAGTATTTGCCTTTTGGTCACCTGCCTCACTGTTGTCAGGGAGCTTACTCAACCTTGAAAGCTGTTTGAACACTTAACCCACATCAGTTATTAAGCCTTTCACTTCCAAGAACTGTTTCTTTGTGGACTATATCTGTGGATGTTTGATCATATAAAAAGTTAATACTGTGATAGTTGTACATACTTAGACATAAGCCTAGTGTCATCTCACACATACCTTCCATTTTTCCCACTGACATTTCAGAATGTCTTGTTTAATACAGTATGGATTTCCATAGCTGCTTCTGTATTCAGTGTGCAGCAGTGTTACACTGCAGCCTTTGTGGATATGAGAGAGCTGACTGCAAGATGGGCAGTGTTTTACTGTGGTCACAACACAGCCTTGACTGCCCAAGTTCCCTATCCTTAGGAAATGTAAAGAGCAGTTAGTTCTTTAAAGTGAGGTTTGCTTTAAATCTAAAATTAGTTTTGTTCCATATTTGAAGGAATATTTAATAATGGGAATAACTTGATAGCTGTTTGTGTCCCAGAACATGCAGTCCCTTTTCTAAACAATTTATGCAGCATAAGGCCGAATGTTGGCTATTGGTCAGTCTGCTGCTGCTGTTCCCTGTATTCATTTTTATCTAAACCAAATAAATACAGGTAGAAAATAAAGCCGGCTTTAGACCAAGTGTGTTTTCTTTTTTATCTCTTTTTAGTGATGCTTTGGGTTTTCTTTTACTTGTGTATGCATTTAGCATAACCAGTGCAGTTGAGGGCTGGCATTTATCCTTAGATTATACTTTTAGTTATCAATAATCATGTATTTTGAAATACTTATTAATATTGTGTGATAACAATTATTTTCTTTTAAAGCATCAAAATTTTGAAGAACAAATGCAAGGCATGAAGACCCAGTTAATCCAGTTGAGCACCTTACTCAGATTATTGGACAGTGGATTTTGTAGCTATTTAGGTAAGTTGAGTGAAGGTACCTGTACACAGCAGGTTGTAGGGTAACACCTGTAAGAATGTGAAGGAACTTTTTTTCCACTTAAACTATTTTATGTGTATGAATGTTTGGCTTGCATGTATCTATGTGTTTACTACGTGTGTGCCTGCCTGATTCTGTGGAGCTGGGGTTATGGATGGTAATGAGCCACCTTGTAGGTGTTGGGAACTGAACGCAGGTCCTCTGTAAGAGCAACAAGTCCTTATAACTGCTGAGCAGTCTCTCTGTGCCTTGTAAAGCAACCTTTAAAGACAGACGTGCTCCACTGCTAGTGCCTGAGTTCTTTTAATGAGAAATGTTTAGATTACCTTGTATAATTTTGTCTTCATACAGTTATATATTTTGTTTATTTTAAAAAATAAGTTACTCTGTACATTTCAATTGCTTCCTTGAATTGATAGAATATAGTCAGTCATAAAAGGCTTCTAGTAACACAGAATGAATAGATAAATTTGAGTCTGAAGCAGATTCCTTAATTTTGACATATTGGCATAAGAATAAAACATATTTTCTTTTTCTTCTGTATAGAATCCCAAGACTCTGGATATCTTTATTTTTGCTTCAGATGGCTTTTAATCAGATTCAAAAGGGAATTTAGTTTTCTAGATATACTGCGATTATGGGAGGTAAGTTCTTACGTTTATTATGGAGAGAAGCAGTTTATTCTGTGTGGAGTTGTGAGTGTATTCTTATAGCTTCACAAAAAATGTCTGGAGTCCTCTGTAACAACTGATGCTCTAGGTGCAGCTCTCGGTGTTTTGGACCCTCCTTCAAGAACAGCACTGTGAGATTGGTACCCAGAACTATCTCAAGAGAGAAGTGTTTTAGATCATTTGCTACCTGTACCCTATCTATAGATTTGACTTGATTGTTTTTTACTTTTAAATTCGTATTCTTTGAGAGTTTTTGTTACAATTATTGTAGTCCTGACTGAGTTTCTCTTCCCTTCTGTTCTCCCAGTCCTTCCCCTCCCTGTTCCCATCTGTACCTCTTCCTCTTCTCAGAAAAGGGGGGGGCTTCCTTAGATATCACCCAGCTTTGGCATATCAATCTTCTATTGAGGTAGTTGAGGCAACCCAGTTAGGGAAAGAGGTTGAAAGGCAGGCAGTGTAGTCCGAGACAGCCCCAGCTCCCCACGTTAGGAGTCCCACGTGAAGGCCCAGCTGAACACTGTTACACTGACTAGGAGGGCCTAGGTCAGTCCCATGCAGGCCTCTTGGTTGGCGGTTCAGTCTCTGTGAGACCCCGTGTGCCCAGGTTAGTTGATTCTGTGGGTTTTCTTACGGTGTCCTTAACCCCTCTGGCTCCTACAACCCTTCCTCCTCCTCTTCTGCAGGGTTCCCCAAGCTCTGTCTAATGTTTGGCTGTGGGTCATTGCGTCTGCTTCCATCAGGTGCTGGGTGAAGCCTCGCTGATGATGATTATGCTAGGTCCTGTCTGCAAGCGTAGCAGGATATCATTAATAGTGTCAGGAATGGGCTCCCTTTAAGGGCATGGGTCTCAAGCTGGACCAGCCATTGGCTGACCATTCCTTCAAGTGATGCTCCATATTTACCCCTGCACATCTTGTAGGTAGGACAGATTGTAGGTCAAAGGTTTTGTTTTTTTGAAGCTTTATGTAGTATGTTTTAATTGTATTCACCCCTTCCCCAACACTTCCCAGGTGCAGTCCCCTTTCCCTGTCCACCCAGTTTTGTGCCACACACACCCCTGCCGCCCACCACCTTTTTCTTTTTAAAGTCTTCAAGAACAGTTTGTGTTGCCCCAATAGCCTTAGTTATGTGGTCTTTCTCTACCCTCTTAGAGAAACCTACGTCTCCTTTTTACAACAGCTACCAATTTCCCAGAGCTCCACAGCTAGGGGTAGGAATCTGGGATGTTGTCTGGCTGGAGCTTGCACAGGCTATGTGTGTTGTCACAGCCACTGTAGTTGACATGTACTTCTTCCTGCTGTGCCCGTAAGAGTATTTCTTTGTAACCTTCCACCACCGCTGGCTCTTACACTCTTTCCACACACTCTTCCACGATGATCTACCCTTTGGAAGGGGTGCAGAGTATATTCCCCCATCAGGGCTGAGCGCTCTGCTGTCTGTCTGTTAGTCTCTACACCTGGGCCAGGTGTGTGTATCTTTATGTTAGTCACCGTTTACTGGAAATAGAAGCTCCTCTGATGATGGGTGAGAGCCACACTGTGGATATTACACAATAAGTCTTTAGAGGTTGGTTTTATAGTATGTTCATTTAGTAGAAAAAGAGTAGTATGGTCTCCACTAGGGCCTGTAACCCATCTATCTACCCACAGGTTCTTGGCCTAATAATGGACTAGGTATGGATTACCTAGACCTACCATATGATCCAGCTATACCATTTTGTATGTGTTAGCCAGGATTCTGTATAGGAATAGAACTGAAAAAGGTAAAGAGTGTGCGTGTATGCGTGCGTGTGTCCGTGCGTGCGTGTCTTTGTGTATTTGTATTTGTGTATTATAAAAGGGCAATTTCTTAGAGTGGTTTACAGGTTTACAGTAGCTCAGTCAGTCCCACAAATGCTAATTCCTGATAGAAAGGCCAAGAATCTGGTAGTTATTCATTCAGTTCATAAGGCTGGCTGTCTCAGTTGTTCTGTGTTGGAATCCTTAGGAAGTATGTTCTGATAGGATCTGCTTTAGCAGATGAATTTGTCGGTGAGAGTAAGGGCAAAAAAGTTTTCTTTTTTTGTGTTTGTTCTTTTATGTCAGCTGTCACCAGAAGGTATGACCCCAATTCATGGTGGGTCTTTTTATCTCAAATGATCAATCAGGGAAGTCCTCCACAGGTATGTCTAGCAGCATAGTTGATTCCAAACGTAGTCAAATTGACAATCAAGATTAGCCATCATAGGTATATACTCAAAGGGCTCTGTAGTCTACTTTAGAGCTTCCTGCTCATTCATAGTCATTGTTACAAAATGAATTAAATATTCTAGCCAGCCTATATACCTGGACCACACAGTCTGGGTATTTTATTTACAATCCGTACGCCTAGACTGGGTGGGTTTGGAGCTGTCCTAACTTACATCCCAGCCATGTGTCCCTCATGACTTGCTGGTTTTCCTGGCCATGTGCTCATGGTCCATCTCCTCTCTTGGTGGTCTCCTCCTCTCTTGGACCCTGCCATTCATCCAACCCTGTCTCTACTTACAACCTCCAGTCAGGTAACTGAGAGTCCACCTGTCTACTGCCCAGTCATAGGCTTTAGCCTAATATTGTCTTGGGGAGCAGTGTTGTATAACATCACTTAGTGTACATGAAGAACCTCCTTGTCAGGGATGGAGGGCAGCCAGATCTTAGGGGCCTGTATTTAGTGTTTGACTACATAGCAGCATCAGACCAACCTCCTCCTATACATTGTTGCTCTACTTAGAATAGCCAGGAAATGGAAACAGCCTAGATAACGATCAGCTGATAAATGAATAATAAAAGTTGTGGCATATTTACCCAATGGAATATTATGCAGCTGTTAAGAAAATGAAATTTACAGGTAGGTAGATGCAGCTGGAAACAGTTATTCTGAGTCAGATAACCCAGACCCAGAGAGACAAATGTCATGAGTGCTCGAATTTCCGGATGCTCGCTTTGGGTCATCAGATACGTGTGTTTCATTTAGAATATCCATAGAGGCCAGAAAATCACTAAGAGGCTCTGGGGAGGCACTTTCAAGGGAGTAGAGGTAACATCCATTAATGTAAAGGGTTAAAAGGGAATAAGGAAACAGGAAAGGTTAAATGGGTTGGGAGTAGAGAGATAGTAGAGGAGGGAGTATGGGAAGGGGAAATCACGTTTAAAGACTTCAAAACACACACAAGCACATGCAGTTAGACTGGAGTCACTGCCCTGTGTCCTGACGGGCTAACAGATGAGCTCAGTGCCAGGATTAGGTTGCTCTTTTGGAGTTGTTGTCCACTGAGGTGCTGTAGGACACCCCCCACCCACTCTCAAATATCACAGCCATTGTTCTTGGTTACCCCCCAGAACTTGACAGTAAAGCTCTTGCCAGAGTCACCACATTGTGAATCATAGAACATGATGAAATCAAGCTGGCAGTCACTTGAAAGCTTCGTGCCTACTAGTAGCTGTCACAGTACTGGAATGGGTTCTGCGTGCCCTGGAAGAGAGTCATCAGTCATACCTATCTGGGAACCCAGTCTAGCAAAAGATGGCCGGCCTCTGGTGCAGTAATGGCCCAGACGGCATGTGCTACTTTCTCATTGAATTAAGACTTGATTTTTTTTTTTTTTAGAAGATTGTGCTATAGTTTTGGTTATAGGCAGAGGTATCACAAGAGAGATGGCTTGTGTTTTCCGTTTACAGCACACTGGTAATAATACATAAGTACTAATATGAAACAAGCATACCCCCCAAATGCTGCTAACTTTTCTTTATTTTCAAGAAAGGTATAGTTAATTCTCTTTAATTAGTACCCCTGTTCTATTTCTCTGTAAAGGAGATTCATTATTCTGTTTTGTTTTGGGTATGGGTCTCTTTTTCATTTTGTACTCAAGATAACTTTCAAGGGAAAATAGAAAAATTACTATTTTTATCACTATTTGTGAGTATATGTTAATAACAGACCTAGCATGTTTTTTAAAAAGTACATTAGTCTAATGTCTTACTATTGCTATAGCTTTATACAAATTAAGAAATGATAGAATTTCTACCACGTATGTTCAGAACAACTTACAATGGAACTCCTTTTTACAGCTGGGAATTGTTTCCTGAACTACCATAGAGAGCGCTGTGTGCTAGTTGAAGGATGTTGCTTTGAGCTGCTTGTGTTCTGCATGGATTTATAGTTAAATGTGTATTGGATACGTGCAGTTTTATTATAATTTATTTTTGTACAATATACTTCATCCATGTTTTCCCCTCTCATAACTCCATCCAGATCCTCCCACCTACTCCTTCTCACTCTCTTAAAACACAAACACAAACAAACACAAACAAACAAAGCCTAGAGTTGTTTGTGGCAGGTGTTTCTGGTCATGGGCCTGTAAGACTCTGATGAGTCTTAGCTCCCCCTGTAAAACACCCCCACCCCCCCAGTGGACAAGGCAGAGCTGGAGATCAGAGATGGATGCAGAAGCAAGAGGAGTTTATTGTTCCAGCGTGCTGGGGTTGTCCTGCATTAGCTAAAGTAGTGGTGATGACCCAGGTTTTATAGTTTTCAGGGGTAGAATAGAGCAGCAGCCACTAGGGACAATGTGATTGGGAGAAACAGTGTGACTTTTAAACTGATTGGTCCTTAGGGAATGAGGTAGCAAGGGCTTTTTTTATTTGCCTGGGGGGTGGAGGGGCTGATGGCAACGGTTGGTCCACCCTGAGGAATGTGTCTATGTGCTCTGGGCTTCCCTTATTTGCAGGTGGCCAATGATTGGTCCCCCCTGTGGTCTTCCTGAAGAATGTGATCAGCCTCTCCCTTCTGGAGTGGAGGGGTGCCTATGTGCACTAAGGACTTCTCCCTTCTGGGAAGGGAATGGGGCCTGGTGGAATTTTCCAAAGGCTATGAGCTGACCTTTTCAGGCCTGCCCTGGAATGTAAATCTAAACTCTTTAAGATAAATCAAGAATACTGTGACCACTTAGCTAGACTAACTCTTTAATCTTTCTTTACCAAATAGCCTTAAACTTTGAGGTTAATTGCCTTGTAATTAAATTTCTCAAGTTGGGTTCACTTGGTTTATTCCTTATAAAAGTAAAAGTAAAGAAGCATTTCAGCTGTGTTCTACTAAGTGTCATTTGTCGTCATTTGTACCATTTTTTTTCTTCTTCCAAGAAAAGGAGGTCATTAAGTATGTTAGTAGGGGGAAGTAGAAGACTTGGATTTGTTGGCATGAGCCCATATTTAGGATAAAAGTATACTATAGAATAGAGTTTATTCAGGGCATGGGGAAGGGAGTTAGGAGGGTAGTAGAGGCAGAGAAGGAGAAAGTAGAAGAGTAGAGGCCAGCCATGAACATGTGTGGTGGTGGTGGGGGGGAAGGGCCAAGGGGACAGGTAGGATAAGCAGTTGCTCAAATGGCAGTGTAGTTGGGCGTTCATTTTGGGTAGTCCCTCCAGTGTTTGTTGGAATCAGGGATCTTCTTCATCTTGAGTTACGATGTAACTGTCTACAGTGGAGACGTGTCTCTGGCTCTGTTTGCTCCAGTGCAGTATAATTAGTGCTTTTTAGTGTGTAGGATTTAGTTCTCTTAAATTTTCAAGGACTGAATATTTGTGAGAAAGGTCAGAAAGTTCTGAAGAAATATTGGAAGTGGATGTAACCTTTACATTTCATGATTGTGCTTAAGACTATGGCCGTCAGTGAGTAATGCTGCAGTATCGGTTGCTTTCTGTAGTTACTGGAAGTCTGTCAGATATTAAACTTCATTTCGTTTCCTTTGTAGCTAAAGGCAGGACTCCTTCACTTTTCGTCTGTAGAAAATTGGACTATCCCAACTAGGCATGTTTGCTGCTTCAGAATTAGCATGTATCTTTGAAGAAATAATTTACAATTGATTTTGTTTACTGAGTAAGTTACATTTTTTTGTAGGTAATGTGGACTGAACTGCCCTGTAAGAATTTTCATCTTCTTCTGTGTTGTGCTATCCTGGAATCAGAAAAGCAACAGATAATGGAAAAGCATTATGGCTTCAATGAAATCCTTAAGGTGGGTCTTCTCTCAGTGTAGATGGCAGTGCTGTCTCTAGTGGTGCTCGTCATGGATCAGAACATTTCTTTGGAGTGTTGTTGAATCTCATGAGTAGTTCTCCTTGTCCCTAACACCAGGTGCTGGACTAGCTTAGTTCAAGAGACAGTTTGGTAAATACATATTTGTCAGTTATTGTTGATGTGTTTATAAAAAGATAAAGAGAGGAGGTGATATGTTCTATGGAGGTGTGGTGAGGTATGGGGGAAGGTGTGCTTCAGCCGGCCCATGACAAGGCATCCCTTCCCCCCAGAGGGAGCAGCCACACATAGAATTGAGTTTATTAAGGGCATTGGGCGGGGGGAGGGGGGGTTAAGAGGGTAGTAGAGGCAGAGAAAGAGAGAGTAGAGGAGTAGAGCCCAGCCACGAGTGGAGAGAAAGGGGGGATGGGAATGGGGAGAGAGGGAGAAAGGAGTTAGGGGATACAGTAAGAAGGCAAGAGACCAAGAGCGCGAGGAGGGGGCAAGTAGCCCCTTTTATACTGAGTCAGGCATACCTGGAGTTGCCAGGTAATTGGTGGGGGGTGTGTGTGGAGCTTAGACAGAATGCTAACAATTATTGAGTGGATATTTAGTAAAGAAGGGAAGTTCAACAAATGTTCTTTTATGTAGTTTTGTTTTTTAAAAAAGTTAATTGTATTTTGCTTATAACTTTGAGTTAAACGACTAGATAGCTACTAGGTTTAATGTTTTGTGAGCTTATTAGCTATTCTTTGTCTTCAAAACTGAGTGTAATGAAAGATGTATTGGATTTTCTGTGGATTTGTAATATGTGGATATTTTTATATTATGGGTAATATCTGCAGTGCAGTATAATTGGTAATAAATTGTTTATGTTTTAGAGTATAATAGAGCTTTCTGTTTTGATTATCACTCTCCTGTTGGTTTTGTAGCACATCAATGAATTGTCCATGAGGATTGATGTAGAAGACGTACTGTGTAAAGCAGAAGCAATTTCCCTACAGATGGCACAGTGCAAGGTATCCAGGGTTGCAAAGAATTGCAATATTTTTCTCCCTCTTTTTAATCAGCTAAGAAAGATTTCCTTATAAGGAAAACAAATGACAGCAAATGAGGACAGAAACAAAGCTTTTATTTTATTTATTTACTTTTGTAAGTTTACCTCACTTAATTGAAAATAGTTGACTAATTATGCCAGATTGGAAACATTTAATTGGCAAAATGGCAAAAGTAATGAAAATATTTCTACAACTGGAGGCTGTAGATTTTAAGTGGTAATACATTATCCAACTTAATGAATGCAATAAGATCTCTTATTAAATATGCAACATCCACCACCAAAAATAGGTGCTAATCAGAAACAAACGGATGGCAGTTTGTCTTACTGCATTTTTATCAATTCGGTTTTTGTTTCTAAAAAAAAAAAAGCAAGACAGATTTGATTTTTTTTTAAATCTGAAGTTAAACCAAGACATTATAGTTGGCCTTTTTTTCTTTATTTTTTTCTAAGTTTTATTTTTTAGCTCAAACAATCTTTTTAAAAAATTATATTAAAGTTAAAAGAAAAACTCTTGGGCAGGCATGTGGTAAGTGTCAGCAGGTGCTCAAAGGAGGCAGTGGGGGACAGAGGAAGACAAGCCATGCAGGTTACAGCCGTGGAGGTCAGCAGCCGGGTGGGGGAGGGACTGTTGGAGAAGGAATCCTGACTCATCCCAAAAGCAGACTTAGGTCCTGGCCTCAAGAGGAAGTGGGGAGGGCCAGGGAAGGAAGGTTGCTGCTGTTTTGTCTCTTGTCCTGCTCAGTATCTGAGGGAGCAGGCGGGGGTGGGGGGGGTGGGGGGGTGGAGGGGTGGAGGGGGTGGAGGTGGGAGGGAAGACAGGCCCACCCGCAGGAGTCCAAATAGTCCAGGGATGTTTGTTAGATAACTATTCTATTTCAAAACCTGCCAGTGAGATTACTTAGAATCTTTACTAGTATTTCCTGACAGATTCTAACTGTGAGAAGGAGAGAGAAGGTAAACTGTGAATGTTAGAAAACTCAGTGGGGTGTGGTGGTGCACCCTTGCAGGCTCACCAGAGGATCATGAGAGTAAGGCCAGCCTCAGTTATGGGATGAGTTTGAGTCTAGCCTGGACTACATGAGCCTGTACATAGTTTAATACCATGTAAAGGCCAAAGCTAGCAAATAGCAACAATCAGGTCCAGGGAGGTCTCCTGGCATAGAGTGATTTCACTTAGATGAGATCCAGAAACTGCTTTTGTTTGACTTTGATTCCATTGCTGTGACTAAACATCAACTAAGAGCCAATTAGAGGAGGCCTGGGCTTATTTCAGTGCTCAGACCACTCTCCATCATGGAAGGACTGCAGAGCAGGAACCTAAAACAGAAACCAGGAAGGGTGTTGTTGCTACCTAGCTCCTTCCAGGCTCCTGGCATTAGCATGAGTGCAGATGTCCTGAAGGTCAGAGATGTTGGTCCCTGTAGAGCTTGGGTTACAGGCAGGTATGAGCTAACACAGTCTCTCCAGCTTCTACCTAGCTTTCTTCTGTGGCCTGGTCCAACCCGGCCCAGAACCATTTGACCAGGGAATGGTGTAGTCCACAGTGGGCTGAGTCTTCCTACATCAGTTAACAGTCACGGTGATCCTCCAGACATGCCTACAGATCAGTCTGATACTGGGCGGACCCTTAATCGACAGTCTCTTCTCAGATGACTCGGGCTCTGTCAAGTTGATATTTAAGGCTAACTAGGAAAATTCATGAGACAAAATAGATGGCCAAAATTTCATTTGGAGTAGAGGAAGATGATGTGAAAAGAGTATGTGGCACTTGGTGGCATTTCTTCTAGGCTCGGCCTAAGAAGTTACCTAGCAACAGCCAGATAGGAGCCTGGCTTGCTGTAGAAGGACTGTTTGGTACTCCCCCCTCCCCTGTCTCTCTGCCCCCTTTCTCATTAGCATTCCCCCCCCTTCTCCCCCTTCCCTCCCTCTGTCCCTTTCTCCCTTCACTGGCCTCTTCCCTTCTTTCTCTCTCTCTGTTCCTTCTGTTTGCCTCTACTCCCTTCTCAACCCCCCTTTTCATGCCCCCAAATAAAGCGTGCCCCGTGGGGATGCCTCAGCAGGGTCTGCTAAGGTGCCTCCTCCAGCTGCCTCATGCTGCTACATTACAGAACGTATCAGCACTTACCCAGTTAAAATGAATGTTTAGACTCTGAATTCAAGCTACTATTAAAAGGTTATTTTGTGGATTTTTCCTCAGTTGTGATTTTATATTTGATTTTTCATACTCAGGAATTGCCGCAAGCAGTTTGTGAGATCCTGGGACTTCAGGACAGTGAAGTTACAACGCCAGATTCCGACACTGATGAAAACGTTGGCACTCCTTGTCCCGTGTCTGCATTTCCAAGTAGCACCTCGCCCATCCTTGCTGCCAGTGAAGCCAAAGACGACAGTCCAGCACCGACATTAGCATCCCCAAACGCCTGCAGATCAACACCTGCATGATCATTTGTCTTACATTTTTTAAGAGATACTTTGTTGCAATTCCTTTTTAAGTACATGAAAGGTAGACATTCACAGTCTTGGTATTGATCATGCTTTAAGTTTTATGGAAAGACAGTGTACTGATGTTCTTGCATTAAAGCTTTACAAAGTTCTAAACTAATTATTTTTGTAGTTACTTCTACCAAACAGCCTTTCCTTTCCAGTAACATTCCTTAGTATTTTTATAGCTAAGCACATTTTATTTTGTTGCTGGTGAACCGGTATTGGATAAATACTACAAGTGGAAGCTTTGGAAATTACGCACTTTGAAAAGCATTCACTGTTTACTCTTTAGTGGGCTTTGGACTTGATTACATTAAATGTTGAGCCTTTATAAAGCATTCTAAGCTGAGAAGTAAATTGTTACTCAGTGATGAAATTTAAAATACAAACAAATTTGGTTTTTCTATTGTTTACAACAATATTCATCTTAACTATTTATGCTGGTTGAATGTGATTTAAATAAGACATTTTTACCAACGTAGCTAGTATGTGGATAAAGAACTATTTCAACCTTAGCAACTGGATTGGCAGTATTTTTTTTTTTTTTTACAAAGAACTTTTTTTCACTTGTACATAAGCTATAAATATATATATACTATTTATGAGTATAAGAAAGCATAGTCCTATTTTCTTTAACTGAATAAACTTGACTATTGATTTATATAAGCTGATTCAACAAAATTAATACATGGCTTCAATATAAGATCTTTTTCAAAACTATTTTCTTAACTGAACATTTATTTAATGAGACTACATTGAACCCTGTCTATACCTGGTGTAAATCACTGTAACCTCTCTACTAACAATGTTTATTATCTTTCCTAGTACTGCACTAATTGGTTAATCAGATCTTTACATTTTTTTAAAATATTGTTTGCAAAAAGCTTATGTCAGAAATTTCCAGGCACTGTCATGAGTCTCAAAGGAATATTTTTTGTATATGAATGAAGCTGTTTTTACCATGCAGTGTTGCATGTTTTTAAGTTCTGTGGAATTACCATAACAAATTCCGTTTTAATTGTAATTTGTTAACTCTTGTACATATCATTAAAATAAAGTCAAAGCTAAATTAGTGTTTTCAGTTACATTACACTTAGAAACGACTGGTTCTTCATGAGAAAAAGAGTGGACCTCAGCATGTCACAGCATCTCCTTACTTGAAGCTATCCTGTCAGTGAGTCGTGGAAGTGATAACGGGCATGGCAGCTCCTTCACACTCAAGCACAGGTTTCACCCGCGTGCTCGCTCAGGGTGTGTCACTGAAGCAGTGAAGCAGCTGACCTGTAATGGTTGTGTAGATTGGGTTTTTTGTTTTTTTGTTTTTCTTCCTCAGAAAGTAACGATACCACAGGAACTTTTCTCCCCTAGCTGACTATTAAGGACAGTCATGGCCCTAAAACCTCGAGATGTAAGTTTTTAATATTGCGTGTTATCTCTTATCAGTTAATAATGAGTAAGCCTGTTTAGAAGAGTGAACTGGTCACAGGCGCAGCCTCTCCAGCCTTTCATTTCCTGCCATTCAGGAAATTGCTTCGAACATCTTGATGTCCTCCTCGTTCTTCCTGGACAGTGGGTGTTCAGACGTCTTTCTACGTAATACAATATCTACTTCAGACTAAAGAAAATTTAATATGTTTCGCAAGTTGAACTTTTGTCAAGTTTTGTTATGAAACTGCTTGTGGAAATATTTTTACTAAAAATACATATTTCTGTCGAGCACATTTTTTCATGTGGAAGTGATAGTGCATTAGAGTTGGTAAAGTCTTAATCAGGCCACAGAAGCCAGCCAGAAATACCATATAAATGAGTCGTCGGCATGACTAGAATATATAGTGCAGGAAGATCATTTCAGTGTTCACAAAATGTTCACACACACATAGGATTTTAGCGTATATATACATATATATCAGCATGTAGAATATGTGTAATGTTATATGATACATAAGGTTGTTAAAATTTAGGTTGTTTCTAATTTTACCTCGTGTATTTTCAATTTTTATATGAGTGCATAAGAAACAAGACATATTTAAGGATCTGTTTTACTCATGTTTCTAGACGTTTCATCTCTTTCTGTAGAAAACGTCAGTCTTGGTTCATAGTCAGCCTTTTTCAGCAGTCCTCGTTTTTTTTTTTTTGTTTTGTTTTTTTTGTTTTTTTTTTTTTTTTTTGAGACAGGGTTTCTCTGTGAAGCCCTGGCTGTCCTGGAACTCACTCTGTAGACCAGGCTAGCCTCGAACTCTCGAACTCAGAAATCCACCTGCCTCTGCCTCCCAAGTGCTGGGATTAAAGGCGTGCGCCACCACCGCCCGACATTGACTACAGTGATCTGTAGAACTACTGTGGAATTGATGGGACTGTACTTACAATGTCGAGCAGCAGATAAAACCGACTTTTTGAGGGTCTCTCTTGGGCTTGAGGCCAAGTAAATCACTAAGTCACATGATGGTGACTCTAAGCCCCCTCTTCCTCATCTGCAGGTGGGAATAAAGCTTTTTGTGAAGAGTAAGTGTGTGAAAATGTGTAATGCGATGCCCAGCATGATAGAGCAGTAACGTTCTAATGAGATGCCAAAGAGAGATTGCCACCATCTTTGGGCATCTTTTAGAATCTTTAAGTGTGTTATTTTTCTTCCAAGACATATCATGCTGCCACTATAGTCTTGAGGCACCCTTCAATTGGTCTCCTACTGAGGTCATTTTGATTTCAAGTTCAACTTGTGTTTCGGCTTCATGGAGCTTCTTCCTCACTGTCCCAGTGTACATCACTGTCTCTGTACTCTGTCATCTTCAAAAAAGCCTAAATGCGCTCACCTTTTATTGATTGTCTTTTGTGAAGGTGGTTATGAGAACACCGTGTCTACTTATTTTGCCTCCCGATGCTGTGTGATTCTCAAGCCTCCTTTCTAGGTCAATATAACAAATTTTGCAAATACCGCAAAAAAGGAAGCCTGTCCCATGACACCTAGGCATGACAGCAATAAACATTTTTAGCAGTGTGGGAAATGACAGCATCTATTTAAGCATTTTATTAGAGAATGAATTGATGCTCAAGGTTGTAGGCAGCTGGTTTTGGTTGCTGGTAGGAGGCACAGAGGTCCTTGTGCTCACAGATAAACATGAGGGAAACTAGGAATGTTGAACACAAAAGGTTGTCTTGTCAAAGGGAGAGATGCATAGCTTGTTTTTTGCCCAGAAGTCTTGTATGGGAGGTAGTTAATAGCCTGGTGACCGTCGTCTGACTGAGACCACACTAGAGCCTTATCTATTTATTTCTCAGTCCATCTATAAAGCCATCTCTGTAGAAGATGTTACATGTGGGACTGCATAAGGGTATATTGGTTCTTGGCTGGGCATGGGCATGGAACCCCAAGACTCCAAGGGAGCCACATCCCCAGAACCCAGGGTCCTGACATGCAGTCTCATCTCCATAGATCTACATTGTTCAGTCATGTAGGTCATTACAGCCCCTCCCAAAGTGCACAGCCGGATGTGACTACAGGCCTCAGGCCCTAGGGATTTACGTACTAATGAAGGCCAGAGGGTGGGGCAAATTAAGCATTCTCCCCAAACCCTCTGCCTTTCTCCCTCTCTGTTTAACTCAGGTCTGCCCTGAATTTGGGGGGACACCATCCACCATCCGCCATGAAAATAAACCTTTCTGGAACCAAGGACTTCCTCGTGTCATTGGGGCCTGCTGTCACCAAAGCCCCAAGCCTCTGGAACCTTAGACTTTCTCCTGTATGTGGGACCCACCAGCGTGGAAAGCCTCTGGGACCACCACCACTGCGGCCCCTTTTCCCACAGTTACATGTACTTTAAAGTATCGAGTAATCATGTCTTAAACTTGATAGTATTGAGTTAATTATCACCAAGATTTTTTCCCCCAGTAAGTTGTGCTATGTTTAGATATACTCAAAAATAAACTACAGTGTCACACAGTCTGAACCAACCGCAGCTACTGAATCATGTTGAACCAAACTGCCTTCTTACCAGTCCTTGGTCATCACAGAGACCCACAGAGTTGTGCTTTCAACATTAGATCAGCTTAGTTGGATTGGTGCCAAACTGACTTTCTTGGCTTAGTTTTAGATTGTGCTGTTTCTGTAACTCTGAATGGTTAATACAACCTCAAAGCTTAAGTACCTTTCGTTTCTGTTTTCCTTCAAAATGATAGTCTGTGTAGTGTGTGAGGGTGGTTGACAGGAATAAATGGTGCTGTGCCTAACTTGTAATTTGAATCGAAGTGGCAGAAGTCACGTTAGTGTAATATGACTCAGACATTCTCCTATGAACACAGTGAGTGGCACTGACCATAATGGCTAAGAATCTTAAGGAGACGGGTTACTGAAGATCAGAACAGGGAGGTTTTCCCCATGTTCCAAAGAAAAACATTGACCTTCCAACTCCCATGCTTCTGACTTATTTATTATGTTCATTTGTACATCTTTAAATGGTCAGATAGCTATGTCCTTTATGGACTATACATGTGTTGGCTGTGAATGTCTGGATAGAAAAGGAGATGATGCCTGTGTGTGTTTTTAAAAGGAAATCATTTCAGGTTGATTTGATTTCCTATTGTTGCTGAGCTCTTAAACTACTGAATCCCTTGAAGTGGGCTCCAGAGTTACTTTAATATAATTTAAGTAGTTAGAGGAATTAGTAGTGGATAGCGTTAACATTTAGCTGTTCCTGCTGAAGACCCTGAAGTACATAACCCATAGAATCGTATGTCAATGGAAAACATCCAGACATACTGCTTATTGAGTTGGTGTGTATTAGAAAATTTAACCTTTCTCTCTCTCTCTCTCTTTTTTTTTTTTTTGTTTTTTTCGAGACAGGGTTTCTCTGTATAGCCCTGGCTGTCCTGGAATTCACTCTGTAGACCAGGCTAGCCTTGAACTCTTGAACTCAGAAATCCCCCTGCCTCTGCCTCCCAAGTGCTGGGATTAAAGGCGTGCGCTACTACTGTCGGGCAATTCAACCCTTTCTATTTATTGCCTTGTTCAGAGTTTCAGAGACACAGATGTGAAATACTGGATTGATGTTTTGAAATCAGGAAGACAAATTATTCAAGGCAAAACAATTATTCTTTTGGGGGAATCCCAGCCTCCAAACAATTACTGCTGCTTTTCTTTGAAATAAATCCTTACATCCATCCCACTGACACATCTGCCCTTAAGTAACTTTATCACCTGCCTTATCCGCTCTTATTGGGAAGTTGCAAGACAAATTTCTATATAAGTTGTTATCCTAGCGGTCCAACTCGGGGCCTTATGCATGCCAGGCCAGTTGTCTTCTGGAGGCTTGTGCGTCCGCCTAACTTTCTCTTGGTGACTTTGTGTTTCCACTTGGTTTTGTATTTAGCCAGGATAATGAAGGTGCGTGACACAGAAAGGAAGAATACGGAGATCTCAGTTCTCATTTTACAGAACAGAAATTGATAGGATGGGAAACTTCCTGTGGTGGACCACGGGCACTTCCGCATCTCCTTGATTCTCTGTTTACACAGGTTACCGTTAATATTTATAAATACTTTTTCCATGTCTTTGTTCCTACAGTCTGAGGCTGCTAAGATAATGACGTAAGGGCTGGTCGATAGTGTTTTTTCTTGCTTTCGTTATTATCCTTAATGACAAAAGATACCTGTGTTGAAAAGGCACTGTCATATATAAAGATTATAGTCCCATTGTATCTTCTTATATCAGCCAGTCACCACCATGGCCACTCATGGTCACATGGTTCTGTTCCACCTATAGGAACTTATATTGCAGATCTTATAACATTTCAATTTATGTTTCCCACAATCCTTTTTCTACTTCCTGGACTCTTTATTTGATTGTTAAAGTTCTTTCCGATGTCTTCCCTTATGACTATAGGCTCCACACCTCCACACACTCGCAAGCACACACTCTTCTTGCCTTTCTATGTTACCATACAGTTGAGAAGGCATTGGTTACGTTGGCATGTATTGTGTGTAATTGTTAATGGCTTTGGAAATGCAGTTTTCAACTGGGTTGCTCCTTTTTGGCTTTTTCTCATCAAGTTTTTTTTTTTTTTCATTAGTCGGTTTTCTGTGCTGTCACAAA